AGATTGACTGGAGCAATTTGACAGGAAATTTAGAGTCAGTTGACTTTCTTGATACGATCCAGGATTGTTTTTTAAAACAGTTTGTGACAGAGCCAACTAGGGGAAATAACCTCCTTGGCTTGGTTCTTGCCAGTAGGGAAACACTAATTAATAATCTTGAGGTTAATGATGAGCTTGGGGAAAATGATCACAAATCACTCAGTTTTAATATATCATGGAATTCCCCTAATAATGGCAATCAAGTCTCTGTCCCTGACTTTCGCTTGGCTGATTTCATAGGACTGAAAAATTACTTAGGTGGGCTGAACTGGAATGACTTGACCAAGGGTCAGGTAGGTGGTGATGGTTGCCGATATGACGCTTTCCAGGGCATAGTTCTAGCTGCTCAATCAATTATGTTCCAAATAGGGAAATCAGATCAAACAAAAATGATCCTAAATGGATGAACAATAGATTAAAATACAGTGGACCCCCGGTTAACGATATTTTTTCACTCCAGAAGTATGTTCAGGTGCCAGTACTGACCGAATTTATTCCCATAAGAAATATTGTGAAGTAGATTAGTCCATTTCAGACCCCCAAACATACACGTACAAACGCACTTACATAAATACACTTACATAATTGGTCGCATTCGGAGGTAATCGTTATGCGGGGGTCCACTGTATCTGATTGGTCAAAAGAGAGGCATATATAGGCAAATCAAAAGAGGAGAGGGGCAATTAAGAAATCGATATATTCAGTTAAAGAGAGAAATAAAAAAGGGAATTAGAAAAGCAAAAAAAGATTATGAGGTTAAAGTTGCAAGAAAATCGAAGACTAACCCAAAAGGATTCTTTCAGGTATACAGAAGTAAGATCAGGGACAAGATAGGCCCACTCAAAAGTTCCTCGGGTCAGCTCGCTGACAGTGATAAGGAAATGTGTAGAATTTTTAACACATACTTCCTCTCAGTTTTTACACAGGAGGATACCAGCAATATTCCAGAAATGATAAATTATGTAGAACAGGACGATAATAAACTGTGCACGATTAGGGTCACAAGTGACATGGTCCTTAGGCAAATAGATAAATTAAAACCTAACAAATCCCCAGGCTCTGATGAACTGTATGCAAGGGTTCTAAAGGAATGTAAAGAGAAGCTTAGCAAACCTTTGGCTAATCTTTTCAACATATCACTACAAACTGGCATGGTGCCAGATAAGTGGAAAATGGCAAATGTGATACCTATTTTCAAAGCAGGTGACAGGTCCTTAGCTTCGAACTATAGACCAATAAGCCTAACCTCCATAGTGGGAAAATTTATGGAATCAATAATTGCCGAGGCAGTTCGTATCCACCTTGAAAAGCATAAATTAATCAACGAATCTCAGCATGGTTTTACAAAGGGGCGTTCCTGCCTTACGAATTTATTAACTTTTTTCACTAAGGTATTTGAGGAGGTGGATCATGGTAATGAATATGATATTGTGTATATGGACTTAAGTAAGGCTTTTGACAGGGTCCCACATCAGAGACTATTGAGGAAAATTAAGGCACATGGAATAGGAGGAGAAATTTTTTCCTGGATAGAGGCATGGTTGACAAATAGGCAGCAGAGAGTTTGCATAAATGGGGAGAAATCAGAGTGGGGAAGCGTCACAAGCGGTGTTCCACAGGGGTCAGTGTTAGGCCCCCTGCTCTTCACAATCTACATAAACGACATAGATGAGGGCATAAAGAGCGGCATCAGCAAGTTTGCCGATGACACTAAAATAGGCCGTCGAATTCATTCTGACGAGGACATTAGATTTGAATAGACTGATGCAGTGGTCGGAGAAGTGGCAGATGCAGTTTAATATAGACAAATGCAAAGTTCTAAATGTTGGACAGGACAATAACCATGCCACATATAAACTAAATAATGTAGATCTTAATGTTACGGATTGCGAAAAAGATTTAGGAGTTCTGGTTAGCAGTAATCTGAAACCAAGACAACAGTGCATAAGTGTTCGCAATAAAGCTAATAGAATCCTTGGCTTCATATCAAGAAGCATAAATAATAGGAGTCCTCAGGTTGTTCTTCAACTCTATACATCCTTGGTTAGGCCTCATTTAGATTATGCTGCACAGTTTTGGTCACCGTATTACAGAATGGATATAAATGCTCTGGAAAATGTACAAAGGAGGATGACAAAGTTGATCCCATGTATCAGAAACCTTCCCTATGAGGATAGACTAAGGGCCCTGAATCTGCACTCTCTAGAAAGACGTAGAATTAGGGGGGATATGATTGAGGTGTATAAATGGAAGACAGGAATAAATAAAGGGGATGTAAATAGTGTGCTGAAAATATCTAACCTAGACAGGACTCGCAGCAATGGTTTTAAGTTCGAAAAATTCAGATTCAGGAAGGATATAGGAAAGTACTGGTTTGGTAATAGAGTTGTGGATGAGTGGAACAAACTCCCAAGTACAGTTTTAGAGGCCAGAACATTGTGTAGCTTTAAAAATAGGTTGGATAAATACATGAGTGGATGTGGGTGGGTGTGAGTTGGACCTGATAGCTTGTGCTACCAGGTCGGTTGCCGTGTTCCTCCCTTAAGTCAATGTGACCTGACCTGACTAGGTTGGGTGCATTGGCTTAAGCCGGTAGGAGACTTGGACCTGCCTCGCATGGGCCAGTAGGCCTGCTGCAGTGTTCCTTAGTTCTTATGTTCTTATTAAGAAAATAGAAGAAAACCCAGAGGGGTGTGTACAGCAGAACCTCGGTATGTGACTTTAATTCATTCCAGAAGGCTGTTCAAGTGCCCATCTGTTTGAGTATCGAACAAATTCTTCCCAACCAATTTTCTGTTTGGTTGGCTGTTATCACTAATCTTCATAGGCCCCATGGTGACTTATTTATACAAATAACAAAAAAACGCCAAAAAATGCGAAGAAACACAAAATAGTTTACAGCGAAGTTCTGGCAGGTTGTATTTGTTTGGTCAAGTACTGAGCTTTGGTCGAGTAGGGAGTTGGTCATGTATCGAAGTTCCACAGTACAGTGGACCCCCGGTTAACGATTTTAATCCGTGCAAGAGGGCTCATCGTTATGCGAAATAATCGTTATGCGAATGAATTTTCCCCATAAGAAATAATGGAAATAAAATTAATCCGTGCAAGACGCCCAAAAGTATGAAAAAAATTTTTTTTTACCACATGAAATGTTAATTTTAATACACACAAACTGAAAAAGGCATGCACAATTAAATGACACTTACTTTTATTGAAGATCTGGTGATGATTGATGGGATGGGAGGAGGGGAGAGCATTATCTTCTTACTGTTTAGAAGGGGAATCCCCTTCCATTACGACTTGAGGTAGCAAGTCCTTTTCCGGGGTTACTTCCCTTCTTCTTTTAATGCCACTAGGACCAGCTTGAGAGTCACTGGACCTCTGTCGCACAACAAATCTGTCCATAGAGCTCTGTACCTCCCGTTCCTTTACGATTTGTCTAAAATGGGCCACAACATTGTCATTGAAATAGTCACCAGCACGGCTTGCAACAGCTGTGTCAGGGTGATTTTCATCTATAAAGGTTTGCAGTTCAACCCACTGTGCACACATTTCCTTAATCTTTGAAGTAGGCACAATGGATTCCACAACTGGCATAGGCTTCTCAGGGTTAGCCCCAAACCCTTCAAAATCTTTCTTAATTTCCATACTAATTCTCACCCTTTTTACCACAGGGTTGGCACTAGAAGCTTTCTTGGGGCCCATGGTCACTTATTTTCCAGAAACAGCACCGAAAACACTGTAATAATACGAAATATTCCGAGTGTATGCTTGGATGTTACCGCGGAGGCTGGCTGGTAAACAATGGGACGGCCGGCACATGTGAGGCTGGCTGAGGGCACATTGGACGCGTCTCGGACGAAAATCGGTAAGCGGGTTTTTAATCGGTATGCGCGGCAAAAATTTTGCGATAAAAGTAATCGTTATGCGGAAAAATCGCTATGTGATGCCATCGTTATGCGGGGGTCCACTGTATATGCTTGTACATGCATGTGTAATGTGACCTATGTGTAAGTAGAAGTAGCAAGATATACCTGTTATCCCATGTGTTTCTGAGACAGAAAAAAAAAACACCAGCAATCCTACCATCATATAAAACAATTACAGGTTTTCGTTTCACACTCGCTTGGTAGGACAGTTGTACCTCCTGGGTGGTTGCTGTCTCCCAGCCTACTACCCACTTATGAAGGTCAATAAAAATATGAGCCTATGGCATATATGCTTTACCCTTTACTTTCTTCCACTTCATTATGTCAGTGGTACAGAAAACATATTTCTCTTATTTTCCTCTTTGCCAGTTTATTTGACGGTTGGTATTCTGATATCCTCCTGCTCTTTTTTTTTTTTTTTTTACCTGTGTGTATCATGGCTGAGCATGTGAGAAAACATTGGTATTGGCTCTTATTACTGTTGTGTACACTACTGGATTATGTCATAGATATACAGTTTTGAACTTAATTACGTACATCGTGCTTAGCTTAATAATCCTTCCTCAGATCAAAACTAATTGCACCCCTCACTCCTGTTACTGCAAAGATGTCCAACCCTGATGGGTTTAACATTTTCCCATGAATACAGGTCGGCCATCACTAATCCAACATTATTGGGTCCTGTAGTGTGCACGATTAGTGAGTTTGCTGGATTACAGAGTGGTTAGGTTAGAATACACTTAATTAACCTCTCAATAGAGACTCTTTCTGCTACATCCTCCCCATTTTCATCACTGCTTTCTCCTCCACTTTCTTGCTGCTGTGGATTTACAACCATCTGCACAATTTCTGAGTCAGAATAATGATGAAATTTGAGTTAGTATAATGATGAAATTTGAAATTATGGTAGCCGAAATTATTGCCGGATTACTGATGGAACCAAATAATTGATTGCCAGATTAGTGATGGCCGACCTGTACAATAATAGTAATAAGCTTACTATACTAATGTGAACTGTGTTTTGTTTTACAGTTTTGGCATAAGTCTTGGTGGTCGTGTGATGTTTGCTGATGAAATGGGTCTGGGGAAAACCATACAGGCCCTGGGAGTTGCAGTTTATTACCGCAGAGAGTGGCCATTGTTGGTGGTAGCTCCATCCTCAGTTAGGTTAGTAAACACTAGCTTGGCTAGTCATAAACACACACACGGTTAACCTCGTGAAGATAACTAAACTACAATACAGTGGAACCTCAAATTTCGAATGTATCACTTATCAAACTCTTCGAAAATAGAACCCTTTTTTCGAACCAACTTTGTCCCTATTATCGAACTCGCCCCTATTTTCGAACCGCCGGGTACCGGACCTGTCCGGCAGCCTGCACTGTCTGCGTCCCCACATAGGCGCCGTGAGCCAGTCTGGTTTTGTTGATGCTTGAGTGAACACTAACCTGTGCTCTCATTCAAACATTTTACGATTATTTCATTGTGTTTAGTGCTTGTGGGACTGTGAAATAAGCTACAATAGGAGCAATGAAAATTGCTAGTGGTACCCCTGTGGTAAAGAAAATGAGAAACACAATAGATGTGAAGAAGGAAATAATACAGAAGTGGAATGATGTCCAAATGTTTGTGGAGAAGTACCACCCTGAGCAAGCTGAAACAAGCCATCTTTGCAACAAGTTCAGTGACAGAACCATGTCCCATTTTAGGGAAATCTTAAAGAGGCACCAGAAACAGAGGACTGTGGACAGTTATTTTGTGGGACAGGGGTCCAGTGACTCTCAAGCTGGTCCTAGTGGCATTAAAAGACAGAAGGGAAGTAATGTCAGAGAGGGCTTTGATACCTGAAGTCCTCATGGAGGGGGATTCTCCTTCCAAACACTAACCCCAACTCCCTCTCTCCTTCAGCCCCATCTTCCAGATGCCATCACCAGTCTTCAATAAAGGTAAGTAAAATGTTATTTTATATGTTTATTTAAATTTATTAATACATAATTGAACACTGTATTTGTTGTATGTAAAACTATAATTAATCTCTATAAAATGTATTTTTTTGGTGAATATTTTTGGGTTTTTGGAACGGATTAATTGCACTTCCATTATTTCTTATGGGAAATATTGCTTCGCTTCTCAGACTTTTCGAATTCAGAACTAACTCCTGGAACGGATTAAGTTCGATATTTGAGGTTCCACTGTACTATTACGAGGATACTTTAAAAAAAAAATAAATTCATTTTTTTCTCTTAATACTAAATACAAACAGTTGTTGTATTGAAGACAGAATTATTTTGTTATTTAGGTAATCAAATACCTGAAATTAAATACCTGAAAATTTAATGCACTACTTAGGCTCTATGTGATCCATATGGGATGAAGCACCTTCTTGTGAATTTAATAATAAAATAATAATTATGCATCATAGTATACTTTATAAACTATGTTTATAAACTAAAAATTAAATATTCAGTCTGTACAGATTTTGTTATGGAAAATTATTCTCATAAGCACTGTTAAGGAGGTTTTTGTCTGCTGTTTATTTTGTTCTGTATGATTTCATGTGTGTGGTTGGTTTGAAACTTATATCCTCTTTTTGATACCAAGATTTGTATAATTGGCTTATAAATTTTTTTGGTATGGAGTTATACCTAACATAATTTAGTTGTGCTTACTCGAATATATGATGTTAAACAGTTTTACTAATTATATTGTGTTTGCAGTAATGTTGGTAGAATTACTGACAATATGTAAGGTAAAAGGACATTTTATTGTGGCAATGTTTCACTCTTAGGTTTGCATTAGTTGCACATGTGTCCTTTACCTTACATACTGTGTCTGGCATCACAATGTTCAGCATAAGCACCTGTAAATATAATTCTCTATTTAATCATTTAATTAGACAGTAAAGTTATGGAGTAAGGAAAATTTGGGAAGGGGAGAAGGAAGTGTGGGAAATGTAATTAATTTTGTAACACATTTATGGACATGATTTGTGTCATCCAGGTACATCACTTGCAGACATAAATCTGGTTAAAGTTAAGTAGGAGATGACTTGACTTATCTAACATGAAAGATTTGGACTACAACATCTACATTGTAGTTAGTAAATCAGTTAAAATTTTGAATTTTGAATTTTGCCCAACACATCTCATCATCTGTTATTTTCCTTTGCATAATATGTACACTGATAATACATTGCCACATCTTTTTAATAAAAATATTTTGTGTGCAGGTATTCCTGGGCTAATTCAGTGGAACAGTGGGTGGGGTCAGTGAATAGGTCAGACATAGTTGTAGTTGACTCTGGACGAGACACCTTTGAAGATGCTGAAGTGATCATCATGAGTTACGATCTCTTGACACGTAAAGCACAAGAAGTTCTCAGTCATAACTTTCAAGTTGTAATAATGGTAAGTATGGAATGTACAAACTCAGTGTTATATGCTTTGATATATTTCATCATCTATAGACGCCACTCCCAATTTACAACTGCCCAGCATATGACTCCTTGCATTTATGACTAGTGTATTTATTTCTTGAGATGTAGCCTCTAGAAAATTGCTATTCTTTAAACATGCAACTGGTTTCCAGGAACATACCCCATTTATAACATTGCTCCTGTGGAAAATAAGGGTTCGACTTACAGCTATGTGACTGGTGATGACCCTCCCAATGAGTCACAAGTACAGAGGTCACCTGTAATTCTGAATTACATGAAATACAGTACTATATAATACTTTACTTAAGTTAGACTCTTACTTAAATCTTACTAATTGAAAATATTGAAAACCCTTGATGAATTATCTTATTTGAAAATAATAACAGAATTTTAGAACTGTATAACTATTATAATATTGAATTTGTAGTCATAGCTATAAATGAAACCAATCTTCTATTAATTTTGCATCAAATTAAGATCAAATCTTATAACATTGACTAATCTCTGGAGTTTATTTTCATATGGAATAGTCTGACTTTCTCAAGTGCAGTACAGTGGACCCCTGGTTTTCAGCTCTTGCGGAAATCGTACAATTCGGATTTTGAGCCCTTTTTTTCAGCTAAATTTTCCCCCAGATTTCGTACATCGGCTCGGAAATTGATGGTACCAGACGTGTCTACCTGGGACGCTCATACGTTCGTGACTAACACTTGGGTACATTAAATGTCTTATTTTACGTTAATATAGACATTTTCATTAATCCATCTATGATAGTATTTTCTTCAAAATTATGTAAGAAACACGTTACATAGCATATAAACATGCCTTTGTTACTCGTTCACTGTGTCCCTCTAGTCTTAATGCCATAGTAATACTAATAGTACATAATAATAATCACTCTTGGGCACATTAAATGTCTTATTTTACGTTAATATAGACATTTTAATTAACCCACCTATGATATTTTCTTCAAAATTATACTATAAGAAACACGTTACATAGCATATAAACATTGCAGGTTTATATGCTATGTAACATGTTTCTTATAGTATAATTTTGAAGAGGGGTGGGGTCGGTGGATGGAAAACATTACGTTTTCTCTGGTCCAGCTTCAGAGAAAACGTGTACGAATCTGCCTTGGCCCAGTAACTCCCCTTAATAGTACATAAGGCGTTTATTTACAAAAGCATGAATTATTTATTACTTCTCCCTTTGTTTATGATGGCATCTAAAGGTGGTTATTAGAAACGATTAAACTCAGTGAGCATGGTATGTCGATGGTAATAATATGGCTGTAGGCCGCAGTGTATGTAGCCAGTAGGTATAGGCCTGGGATGTAGCCCCTCTGGGACTACAAATAAATGCTACTCACCAACAAGAGTCTTCAATAAAGGTATGTAATGTTTATCACTAAAATTAGTCATTTATATTTATTTCTCATTGTTTTCTTTTTGTAAAACTATAGTTATTCTCTATAAAATGTATTTTTTGTTAATATTTTTGGGTGTCTGAAACGGATTAATTGGATTTACGTTATTTCTTATGGAAAATGTTACTTCTGTTTTCTGCCATTTTGGATTTAGGCCAACCTTCTGGAATGGATTAATTATGAAAACCGTGGGTCTACTCTACACATTAGAAGTCTCCCTGTTCATCCAAAATTCAGAATATTAATTACTGTAATAAACAAGAATTTGTTTGTCCTTTTAAGTTTTTTTTTTTTTTTTTGTGTGTGTGTGTGTGTTCTAATGTTTTAATATTTATCATTTATCTAGGATGAATCTCATATGCTTAAGAGTTTTAAGGCAGCAAGATACAAGGCTGCTGCACCCATCATGAAGAAAGCCAAACGTGTTTTACTCTTGAGTGGCACTCCAGCCCTTTCAAGACCCTCGGAACTCTACACACAGATCAATGGAATAAACCCAACACTTTTCCCAAAGTAAATAGCCAGCAAATATGTGTGTGTGTATATATGTGTGTATACATATATAAATATATGTATTTTTTTTAACATACTGGCCATCTCCCAGTGAGGAAGGGTAACCTGAAAAAGAACACTTTTCACCATGTACACTCACTGTCTTGCCAGAGGTGCACCAATACTACAGTTCAGATACCCCTCAAAACAGCAGATATCCCAAAACCCTTCTTTAGAGTGCAGGCACTAACAGGTTTTCCTTAGTCCCTTCACAAAATATTACAATACAGCAGTCCCCTCATATCTGTGAGGATACTTTCCAAGACCTACTATGGATACCTGAAACCATAGATAATAATGAACCCTATATATAAGTCGCTTTTTGTTTACATATATACCTATGATAAAGTTAAATTGATAAATTATGGGAAGCACTTCACAGCTTCTATTAGGCTTTGAAGAACTGCCAGCATGATTACTTTTGTACTTTGGGCCATTATTAAGCAAATTTAAGGTTTTTTTTGAGCCACAGTAAACTATGGATAACTGAAACCACAGAAACTGAATCCGTGGATACTGGGGTTCTACTGTGTGTGTGTGTGTGTGTGTGTTTTTTTTTTTTCTTAACACACTGGCTGTGTCCCACCCATTCACACTTAATCACTGTCTTTGCAGAGGTGCCCAGATGTATATTATTCCAGGACTTGAGTACTGAAGGTGGGAAGTACAGTGCCTGCACTCTGAAAGAGGGGTGTTAATGTTGCAGTTTTATAACTGTACTGTAAGCGCACCTCTGGCAAGACAGTGATGGAGTGAATGGTGATGAAAGTTTTTTTTTTTTGGGCCACCCTGCCTTGTTGGGAAGTGGCCAATGTGTTAATAAAAAAAAATATTATTATTATTAGTTTGTTTTAACCCGTAAACGGTCCAAACGTACATACACGTTTTTTCAACATTTGAAAGTATGTAAAAAAGTAGATCTTCTTTTTGTTTTTCTACATTTGAAAATGTGTAAAAAAACTTTGATCTACTTTTTTTTTTTTTGTTATATTTGAAAATATGTAAAAAAACTTAGATCTACTTTTGTAGCACTACACATGTGAATGTAGATCTGCTTGGACTGTTTATGGGTTAAGGATTGGTTTTTCCAGTGGTTTGTGAATAACAGGTTTTTTGCTTGAAAGTTTGTACATTTGCAGATACAGGAAAATAGTAAGACAAATTACTGTACCACTAAAATACACAAATGCATAATCTTTTTTCAAATTTTTTATTAGTGCCGACATACCATCCATAACAGTAAAGTCAGATTAGCAGTTTTATTTTCATAATATACATTGATTTTGCTTTATTTCATAAGTTATTTTATACATGCTGAAAAGCTCTGGAATATGCAGTACATTATGGGCAGACCCTAAACTTATTGATGTATTATTTTGTGGATATTTTTTTTTTATTATTATTAACACATCAGCTGTTTCCCACCAAGGCAGGGTGGCCCAAAAAAGAAAACCTTTCATCATCATTCACTCCATCACTGTCTTACCAGAGGCGTGCTTACACTACAGTTATAAAACTGCAACATTAACACCCCTCCTTCAGAGTGCAGGCACTGTACTTCCCATCTCCAAGATTCAAGTCCAGCCTGCCGGTTTCCCTGAATCCCTTAATAAATGTTACCTTCCTTACGTTCCAATATTACGTCAAGTCCTAAAAATCATTTGTCTCCATTCGCTCCTGTCTAACACATTCACACACGCTTGCTGGAAGTCCAAGCCCCTCGCACACAAAACCTTTACCCCCTCCCTCCAACCTTTCCTAAGCCAACCCCTACCCTGCCTTCCCTCCAAGACAGATTTGTATACTCTCGAAGTCATTCTATTTCGTTCCTTCCTCTCTACATGTCCAAACCATCTCAATAACCCCTCCTCAGCCCTCTGGATAATAGTTTTGGTAATCCTACACCTCCTCCTAATCTCTAAACTAAGGATTCTCTGCATTATATTCACACAACACTTTGCCCTCAGACATGACATCTCCACAACCTCCAGCCTTCTCCTTGTTGTAACATTCACAACCCATGCCACACACACATACAAGAGCATTGATATAACTATACTCTCATGCATTCTCCTCTTTGCTTTCATGGATAAAGTTCTTTGTCTCCACAGACTTCTCAGTGCACCACTCGCCTTTTTCCCCTCATCAGTCCTATGATTCACCTCATCCTTCATAGACCCATCTGCTGACACGATCACTCCCAAATATCTGAACACATTCACCTCCTCCATACTCTCTCCCTCCAATCTGATATCCAATCTTCCATTACCTAATTTTTTTTGTTATCCTCATCACTTTTCTCTTTCCTATATTCACTTTTAACTTCCTTCTTTTACATACCCTACCAAACTCATCAACCAACCTCTGCAACTTCTCTTCAGAATCTCCCAAAAGCACAGTGTCATCAGCAAAGAGCAACTGTGACAACTCCCACTTTGTGTTAGATTCTTTGTCCTTTAACCCCACACCTCTTGCCAACACCCGAGCATTCACTTCTCTTACTACTCCATCTATAAATATATTGAACAACCATGGTGACATCACACATCACTGTCTAAGGCCTACTTTTACTGAGAAATAATCCCCATCTCGCCTACATACTCTAACCTGAGCCTCACTATCCTCGTAAAAACTTCACTGCTTTCATTGACCTACCTCCTATTCCATACATTTGCAACATCTTCCACATTGCCCCTCTATCCACCCTATCATATGCCTTTTCCAAATCCATAAATGCCACAAAAACGACTTTACCCTTATCTAAATACTGTTCACCTATATGTTTCACTGCAAACATTTGGTCTACATGCCCTCTACCTTATCTAAAGCCTCCTTGTTCATCTGATATTTTATATTCATTAATTATTCAGTTAACATGAAGATTTAAGTATAGTACTGTATTGTCTTTATCCTACACAGTATCTAACAGACGAGAATTCTGTCATATTTAATACAGTAAGTTTGTAAAAAATTAATCTTTTAATGTTGAACAGATGAATGCTTTGCCAGCTCAGAAATGAAGCTACCAAATTTTGAAGGACTTTTTAAAGATGGTTCATGAGCTCAGCAGATTTACCAACTAAGTTGTTACGTCTGCTGAGCTTGAGTGTAACCCTTAAAAACTACCATTTTAGCATTGGCATTTTCTCATAAGCAGACCAAAATGAGCAGTGAGGACTACTCTACTCTATATATAAAAAAAAACTTACAACACTCACTTGGTCACTAAGCTATTTAAATTATTTTACCCACTAGTTTCCAGGAGTACGGTGTTCGCTATTGCAATGGGAAACAGCTTCCCTGGGGATGGGACTTCTCAGGTTCCAGCAATATGGAAGAACTGCAGATTATCTTACAGGCAAAACTAATGATCCGGAGACTCAAGTCACAGGTCCTGGACCAGCTACCAGCAAAACGAAGGTAATGCTTAAGTTTTCCTTAATGCAAATGTAAACCATAGCAGTCCTGATAAGGGCTGACAATTCAATTAGACTGGACGTAGCACTGGTTTGTGTTAAAATTCTGCATATACTGTAATACCTGCTAAGACTGGGGAAAGTGAAAAAAATTGACATTTAAATTTCTCTACTGATAAGAGATGTAAGATTGATGTATATGCACCATAACATATGGTATATATCTGTTTATATCTCTGATATCATGTAACGCTGTGGATGGCCATGACAGAAAGGCTTGCAGATAGTTGTATCCACATAACTTGGCTTATTCTCTACTCTTTCACACCATCATGGCTTTTTTTCTTTGATAATCCTCTACTTCCCTTTCCATAAAGTAGTATTTCAAACAAACCTACCATTTTTCTTTTTAGATGTCCAACCCTTAATTCTCTGACCTTATTTGCCATCCCACATATCCCATACACATCACTTGCACATTCTTCCCCACACACTTGTGTGTGTGTCATTTCATGCCCATATATTGCTCAAGAAAAGTTGCAAAGGTTAGTGGATGAGTTTGGGAGGGTATGTAAAGGAAGAAAATTGAAAGCGAGCATAGACAAGAGTAAGGTGATGAGGGTATCAAATGATTTAGATAAAGAAAAATTGGATATCAGATTGGAGGGAGGGAGTAGGGAAGAAGTGAATGTGTTCACATATTTGGGAGTTGACTTGTCAGCAGATGGGTTTATGAAGGATAAGGTTAGCCATAGAATTGATGAAGGAAAAAGGTGAGTGGTGCTTTGAGATATCTGTGGAGACAAAAAACGTTATCCATGGAGGGTGTGAAGCACGGGTTGTAAATGCTGCAGCAAGGAGGAGGCAGTGATGTTGTGTCTAAGGGCAATGTGTGATGTAAATATGCAGAGAATTTGTAGTGTGGAAATTAGGAGAAGGTGTGGAGTTACTAAAAGTATTAGTTAGAGGGCTGAAGAGGGGTTGTTGAGGTGGTTTGGTCATTTAGAGAGAATAGAACATAGTAGAATGACTTGTAGAATGTATAAATCTGTAGTGGAAGGAAGGCGGGGGAGGGGTCATCCTAGGAAAGGTTTGAGAGAGGGAGTAAAGGAGGTTTTGTGGGTGAGGGACTTGGACTTTCAGCAAGCGTGCGTGAGCGTGTTAGATAGGAGTGAATGGAGACAAATGGTTTTTGGGGCCTGATGATCTGTTGGAGCATGAGCAAGGTAATATTTCGTGAAGGGAAATCGGTTAGCCGGACATGAGTCCTGGAGGTGGGAAATACAATGCCTGCACTTTAAAGGATGGGTTTGGGATATTGGCTGTTTGATGTGACATCTAAATTGTTGTATCTGAGCGCCTCTGCAAAGACGGTGATTATATATGAATGATGGTGAAAGTGTTGAAGGATGATGAAAGTTTTTTTTCTTTCTTTTTGGGTCACCCTGCCTCGGTGGAAAACAACTGACATGTTAAAAAAAAAAATGCTCACAGAAATCAAGAGTTGGAAGAGTAATCACTGCTGTGGTCCATGATATATTTCACAATATGGACCACTTAGGCCATAAATTTATTCAACAAGGTCAGCCAGTCAGCCATGTTTTCTTCTGAAATACTGCCCCTGAAGAAATGCAAAATGTCACATAGAAACACTGACCTTGTTGTTTAGTGGCACACCAACCTGCCATCATAAAATGTCATATGTTAAAGAGACAGCCTGCATGTACATACTCTGTCACCTATCTATATAGCACTGGCAAGAGTTGATGCAAGACCCTTAAAGGGTCGATGTCATAAAACACTAAATATATGTTAACCCTTTGACTGTCGCAACCCTAAATCCTGAGGTGTCTCCTGGTGTTGAAAAATTTTTGAGAAAAAAATATTTTTTCTTATGAAATGATAGAGAATCATTTCCCGATGGTAATGACACCAAAAGAATGAAATTTGATGGAAAATTTACGGAGTTACGATCTCACGAAGTTGGCGACCTCGGCGATATTTATGAATCGGCAATTTCGCCCACTTTGAACCCTATTTTTGGCTAATTCCATTGTTCCAGTCAACCAAACTCATAGCTATTTCTTTAGAACTACATTTGTTCTATCGATTGAGTACATTTCTGATTTCAACTACCCAATAATGTGGTCAGAAATTTGCAATTTGGCCAGTTTCATGCAAATTTAAAAATATGCCAATTTCAAAATAGGGTCCAGAATGAACAATGCAGACATTCCTGGCTCTAAAATAACATTTTCTTTGTCCATCAGTCACATCTCCAGGCTCCTCTGATATTACTCTTGCTTTCTATTTTGAATTTTTATTCAAACAAAAAATAGAAGATTTACTGCTATGCAGACTACTGCAATATTGTAATAATTGTATAGATAATGTCAACCCATTCATGACTGCATATTAGAATGGCTAGTTGGACACTTACTGGACAATAACATCATTTGTCTAGGTAGTAGGTTGGTAGACAGCAACCGCCCAGGGAGATACTACCGTCCTGCCAAGTGAGTGGAAAACGGAAGCCTGTAATTGTTTTACACGATGGTAGGATTGCTGGTGTCTTTTTTTTGTCTCATACACATGCAAGATTTCAGGTATGTCTTGCTACTTCTACTTACACTTAGGTCACACTACATATACATATACAAACATATATATACACACCCCTCTGGATTTTCTTCTATTTTCTTTCTAGTTCTTGTTTATTTCCTCTTACCTCCATGGGGAAGTGAAACAGAATTCTTCCTCCGTAAGCCATGCGTGTTGTAAGAGGTGACTAAAATGCCAGGAGCAAGGGGCTAGTAACCCCTTCTCCTGTATATATTACTAAATGTAAAAGGAGAAACTTTCGTTTTTCCTTTTGGGTCACCCCGCCTCGGTGGGATACGACCAGTGTGTTGAAAGAAAGAAACATCATTTGTTTACTTTTGAACATTGGCAATAATCAAACATTTCCCCTACTTTGAGCTTCATTTCAAGGTTCTGTTCATAGTAAAACCAATCAAAATCACCTCTATTTCTATAATATGTTTTCCATTCTATCAAATGAGACCAAGAAAACGAGAATACAACTATAAATGGTATACGAAAATACACCACAAAGTCTGTGTTTCAATCCAAAAACACGGTCAGTTTTTTTTTTCTCATTATGCACTGCGTGCTGCAGGACTTTTTTTTATATGGTGCACACTGACCACACAGACCCATTCTCTCACATGTGGGTCTGCCAGCTTTCTCCTGCTTGATTTGAAGCCGCTAGAATTTTTGAGTATATATACGCCAAACACGGTGGCTCGTAAGACGTATATATATGACCGAAACAGTCAAAGGGTTAAAATAAGCTTTTTTTTTTTTGTTTGTTTGTTTTGCACAGTATATTTAGCCAAGAAACTTATTGTATTCATTCTTAGACTTGTATCTTAAAGTCTACATACTGCCCCTCCCATTCCAAGGAAGAAACTGCTACAGTGTCTGAAGAAATAAAGCATCCTTTTTTTGGTACTGTTTTCCATTTTTTATCCATAAAGTGGCACAAAATCTATATCTTTTCCATAAAAGTTATTGTTTTACAATATTATTTAGGAAAAGAATTTATCCTATTGTTATCATTTTCAGAGTGACAGTGACCTTGGATCCAACTTCAGTTGAAACTGGCACTAAAGCCTTGGAAGCTGCAGCTAAACAGCTTGGTCTGAAATCCCTTAGAGGAGCAGAGAAACATGGTGCACTTATTCGGTTCTTTGCTGAAACATCTCATGCTAAACTAAAAGCTGTGAGGTAGGTTAACTCTGACACTTTATTCTGAAAGCAAACAAAGTATGTACGTATTCCTATATTTTTTGTTTACCTTGTAAGTGTCACTCTTAATTTTCAGTGTTTGTTTCAGATAGTTTGCATGAATTATTAGTTATAACTAGGTAGTAGGTTGGTAGACAGCAACTGCCCAGGGAGGTACTACTGTCCTGCCAAGTGAGTGTAAAACGGAAGCCTGTAATTGTTTTACACGATGGTAGGATTGCTGGTGTCGTTTTTTTGTCTCATACACTTGCAAGATTTCAGGGACGCCTTGCTACTTCTACTTACACTTTGGTCACACTACACATACATGTACAATCATATATATACCCACCCCTCTGGGTTTTCTTCTATTTTCTTTCTAGTTCCTGTTCTTGTTTATTTCCTCTTACCTCCATGGGGAAGTGGAACAGAATTCTTCCTCCGTAAGCCATGCATGTTGTAAGAGGCGACTAAAATGCCAGGAGCAAGAGGCTAGTAACCCCTTCTCCTGTATATATTACTAAATGTAAAAGGAGAAACTTTCGTTTTTCCTTTTGGGCCACCCCGCCTCGGTGGGATACAGCCGGTGTGTTGAAAGAAAGAACAATAATAAAAAATATTTTAGTTATAGCATTAATACAAAAGTTATTCATAAGTGAGTATGCTTAGCAATTTGCAAACGGGCAAAATTACTTACAAACAATGCCTCTACGTCCACAGCAGGACTTGAACCTGCAAACTCTGTATCGGAGTATACAGTACTTTACAGTATTTACAATGTTTGTAAATAAGCAACTAGTATATATTTGTAATTGTTTTAACATTACTGGTTACCCAGACTTGAGCTCTGTCGGTGGGAGGGGCAGTGCCTTCATTCTAAAGGATGGGGGTGGAGATGTTGCAGTCTAAATGATAATCTGATTGTGATTTCAGCACGCTTCTGGAAAAACAGAAATTGAGTGAATGTTGGTGAATGTGTTTTCTTCTTTGAGTTACACTGCCTTGGTGGGAGATGGTTCTTGAGTTAATAAATTATATAATATTATGGCATGTATTTAAAGACAAGCATTGCTTCCCTGTAAAACTTTCCTGATAATTAAAATATCTTTTTGAGCTAAATATTTAACCCTTTTAGCATTGTCCTGTCATATCATGCCTTTGAAGCCAGTGTTGGTCCCATAGTATGACGTCATGAGCTCAGCTCACTCAGATAAGCTGTGAGCAGTAAATTTGGGCCTAGATATGAGAGAATGGACGTATTCAGTAAGCGTGCACCATATAAAAAATCCTGCAGCACACGGTACATAATGTGAAAAAACTGGAATCGTGTTTTTGGTTTAAAACTGACTTCGGTGTATTTTTGTACGGTTTTTTAGTTGTATTCTGTTTCTTGGTCTCATTTGATAGAATGGAAGATATATTACAGAAATAGAGATGATTTTTTATTAGTTTCAGGACTGAAAGTAGCTTGAAATTGACAAATGATGTTACTTGTCCAGTATTCATCCAACTGGGCAGTCTAGTATGCATTTAGGAATGCACTGACATTATTTATACAATTATCACAATAATGAAGTAGTCTGCATAACAGTAAATCTTCTATTTGTTGTGTGAATAAAAATTCAAAATGAAAAGCCTGGAGACGTGACTAATGAACAGAGATGTTTATTTAGTGCCAGGAATGTCTACATTGTTTATTCTGGACCTTATTTTCCAATTGGCAGTTGTTGAATTTTGTATGAAATTGGGCAAATTGCAGATTTCTGATCACTTTATTGGGTAGTTGAAATAAGTAAATGGGTGGTTTCTCATACTCAATCGATAGAACAGAAGGAATACTAGCGAAATAGCTATGAGTTTGATGGACTAGAGAAATGGAATTGGCTAAAAATAGAGAGCAAAGTGGGTGAAATCGCCAGTGTGTAAATATCACCAAGATTGCTAACTTTGCGAGAGCATAATTCCATTAATTTTCCATCAAATTTTGTACTTTTGGTTTATTACCTTCAGAAAAAGATTCTCTATCATTTCATAAAATAAAATCATTTCTTTTTTAAATTCTTTGACCCTTAGAGCAAGTTTGAGACCAGGGGTCTCAACACTGAAAAGGTTAAATGTAGTAGTACAGGTACCATCCGACTTATGACCGAGCTTGGTTCCGACCAACCGGTCGTAAGTCGAACCTTACTGTTGAATATCAACATAACATTTTTGTAATGACTTTATTTTATTGTTTTGTTTTGGTATTTCATTTTTTACTTTACTGTTTATGCTGTTAGTACTGTATTTTATACTGTAAGGTTTAGGATAAACACTATGTACAATACAAACAGTTGTTTGTTTCCCAGAAATTTGGCATACAAAACACAGTCGTAAGTCAAGTGGTCGTATGTCGAGCAGGTCGTAAATCAGATGGTAGGTGTATATAGCATTGAGCATTTCTTTTATTTATATTTGTGTGAATTTAAACCTGTTGTAAAAATAGTTCAGACTTAAAACTTTTTATGTTGGAGACTTGCTTGAAAAGCTGTTATAGGATACTCTACATTAGATGTGCAGTACCATGGTCTGCACTTTGGCTGGGTACAGTGATATACCACTACCAGTTGTAGAATGAAAACAGTTAATTTTAATTATATTAACATTTTTCACAAATTTATGTAAGTAGGATTCAGATTGGTCTGATAAGCTGTGAAAGCTATTCTAATGATAAAATTTTCCCTGAATAATATTTATTGTGGTAGTAAGTTGGTAGACAGCAACCACCTAGGGAGGTACTGCCATCCAGCCAAGTGAGTGTGAAATGAAAACCTTTAATTGTTTTACATGATGGTAGGATTGCTGGTGTCTTTTTTCTGTCTCATAAACATGTGCGATAACTGGTATATCTTGCTACTCCTACTTTCACTTAGGTCACACTTCACTGGCACATACGTGCATATTTATACACACCTATCTGGATTTTCTTCTATTTTCTTAATAGTTCTTGTTCTTTTTTATTTCCTCCTATCTCCATGGGGAAGTGGACAAGAATTCTTCCTCCATAAGCTATGCATATTGTAAAATGCCAGGAGCAAGGGGCTAGTAACCCTTCTCCTGTATACATTACCAAATTTAAAAAGAAAAACTTTCGTTTTTCATTTTAGGTCGCCCTGCTTGGTGGGATATGGCCAGTTTGTTCAAAAAAAAAATATATTGTCATCAATGAAAAAAAAGAATTCCCATTGCTAGAGATATGGTCTGTAAAATCAAAAGCTACTCCTAGTAGTCCCTCCCTCACTACCACCCATTACTACTGCCCCCATTCTGTTACCCAGCAACACCTCAGAAAAATGACATGACACAACCCACTTATCATCAGATTCACAAATTATGATTCTGCCCGTTTACCTTCTCCATAATGTTAGTAAATGGGTTTAGCAAAGAATTTTGTGACCCTACTTTTCAGTCACTGAAATACAACTATAACATTTTCTTCTATTTTTTTTTTTTTAATAAATGAAATCACATTTTATAGTTATTTACATGTCAGAAGAATGTGAAGATAATAGTGTAAAAGAAATTTTTAGTTTGATGAAGCTTAATGGCTATTAAAAGGCTTATATTGAAGTAGCTAGCCATTGTGCATTGGTTCCAGCAATGACTGCATCAGTAGAGAACAGCCTCTCTGCTTTGAAACTAACTGAAACTTCCTCCATAAATTCCCTTGAACTGTAAATCAATAAAAATAAATGCAGTTCAGAGGGCCATCTGAACTGTGATATCAGTACACTTCTGGCAAGACATTGATTGAATGAATGAGTGAGTGAATGTTCTGCTGTTTTTTTTTTTTTTTTTTTTTAGGTCATTCTGCCTTGGGGAGAGACTGCTGGTGTGTAAAATAACTATCACAGAGCTTAAAGGTGTCTTTTGCTTACCCACAGCTATTTTTTAATATTATATAGGACATACATAGGTACAACCATTAGATTAATCAATAAATTTCTGATGCATTTTACATTAAAGCATGATATAAACCCTGCCTCGGTGGGAGACGGCCGACTTGTTAAAAAAAAAAAAAATAAACCTTGGTAATAAATACTGACAAGTTGGTTTAGAAAGACACGTAAGCAAACACTGACATATTTATTAGATAACGTTTCAGTCCTGGGACCTTGATCAAGGTCCCAGGACTGAAACGTTTGCTAATAAATATGTCAGTGTTTGCTTACGTGTCTTTCTAAACCAACATTAGAGCATGAATGCCATTGGAAACAGTCACTGCAAATTGTATAATAATCATTTTCCTCCCTTTCCTTGGATCAACCCTGATTGCCTCCCATTACCCCAGGCGCTATATGACCATTTTGAGTTTAGTGCTTTCCATAATTTTTTTTTTAACACATCGGCCATCTCCCGCCAAGGTAGGGTGACCCAGAAAAGAAGAAACACTTTCACAGTCATTCATACAATAACTATCTTGCCAGAAGTGTACCAGCATGACAGCTCAGATAAGCTTCTGAGCTGCACCATTCCCACCACTCCATTAAATTGAGGGTTTACTGTAATAGACTATCATTTTTAATAATGAATCTTTTTTTTTTCAGTGAGTACATCAAAGAGCTGCTGGAGTTAGATAAGAAGTTCTTAGTGTTTGCTCACCACCACGTTATGATGGACATGCTGTGTACCACTTGTGACAAAGTCAAATGCAAGTTAGTATCAAGGAACCTTGCATGTACTGCAGCACATTTGTACAAGCTAACCTGTATCATAAATTTGGTGCTAGTACAGTGGTCCCTCGATAATTGTCAGGCTCATTAGTCATCCTTTTCGGAAATCGTTGCGTTATTTTTGTCCAAACATTGGCTCGCAAAGGGTCAGTTGACTCGGTAATTGTCGTTTATCCTGGACGCGTGCTCACGGCTCTGAGCCGCCTCGGCCTCCCTTCCCAGCCATTGTGCCATTCTTTACCAGTGAACGATGGTCCCCTCACTTGTTCATACAAAATATTTTATAATACAGTAGGGCCCCGCTTTACGGTGTTTCGCTTCACGGCGTTCCGCTAATACGGTCATTTCAAATTATGACCAAAACTCGCTATACGGCTCCCCCCACCTGACTTTCTAATATGGTCACCGCGTCCCACCCTGTTTGTTTACATTCTCTGTGAGATCCGTAAGCACTAAGTCTCTCCATTTTGTCTGGAAACTCCAAAATGTCAAGTGTTTTTAAAAGTTATTTCATTTTTATATATACTACTCTGATAATTATACTTATGTATACCTGTACCTAAATAAACTTATACTGTACTAGCATGCAGGTATATATTAAAATCAGTAAGTCTCTCATATCTCGAGACATCATATTAGTAATGATAATAATAATCACCGAGTCTCATTAAATGTCGTATATTACATTAATATACACATTTTCATTAATCCATCCATGATATTTATTTCAAAATTATATAATAAACTCGATACATAACATATAAAGATGATAAATACACTCCACAATAAAATAAATAAACATAAATGAGATGAGTAGCCAGATAACTTGTACAAGTGGCAGCAAGAATAACATTTTCTCTAATCTAACATAAGAGAAAATGTGTTACTGGGGGTAACTGTAGAAAATTATTCCTTTCGTATGTATGCAAGTTTATTCAGGTATACACAAATACAGTTACACAGATTATCATACATAACAGCATATGTGTAGAGAACCTAGGATAACCCAAAAAAGTCAGAGTAACTTATTTCCATTGCCTTCACTCAAAGCGTCATTTCTTCTCAAAATGATGTTACATGAGAATGGGAGTGTTCTTTATTTATTCTACAGTATCAATGTAGAGTCAACTTGTACACAATGTAATTTGTACACAAACCAGACGTGTACACTTTTTTTGTTTACAAAACTTATGTTCGCCTGGTTTGTTTACATAACTCTGCGCCTGTCCTCTCTCATGCACTCATTCTCTCTCTCATTTATTTGTTTTATCTCATTTACTTACTCCTGACCCTACATTAAGACTACAAATATTTTAAGGTAAGTAATGAGTGAACTGAATATACATTTTATCGCTGTGGGATGCTTAAATATCATAGAATAGTATGTGTGGGTGGGTGGGGTGGCCTGGTATGGTAGCCCGGCTGACTACCATACATACCACACTTGATTTGTTACAATAAATACTACCTGTCTCACCCTAGATTAAGACTACAAATATTTTAAGGTAAGTAATGAGTAAACTGTATATGCATTTTATCGCTCTGGGATGCTTAAATGTAATAGAATATTATGTGGCCTGGTATGGTAGCCCGGCTGACTACCATACATACCACACTTGATTTCTTACAATAAATACTACTTGTCTCACCCTAGATTAAGACTATAAATATTTTAAGGTAAGTAATGAGTGCACTATGTGTGTATTGTACTTTATTGTTTTTTGATGCCTGGTTCTATTGCTAACTTAATATATGTTAGTGTAAACTTGTTATCTAGTGTTTGTATGCATTTGTAAGTGGAAAAAAAAGGTGTTCCACTTTATGGCGATTTCCGCTTTACGGCGGTAGCCTGGAACCTAACCTGCCAAATAAGTGGGGCCCTACTGTACTATTCTATTCATTTTAGTGCTTGCAAGTGCTAAATAAGCTACCATGGCTCAAAAGAAAGCTCCTAGTGCCAAGCCTTTGGTAAAGAAGGTGAGAAATACAATTGAATTTAAGAAAAACATCACTGAACAATATGAAAGTGGCGTATGTGTGGCCGAACTGGCCAGGATGTATAACAAACCCCATACAATCATATCTTCCATCATGGCAAAGAAAAAGGAAATCAAGGAAGCTATTGTTGCTTGGAGAAAATTGTGGCCAGATTGTGTCCACAAGAGAGATTTTGAAGGGTTTGTGGCTGACCCTGATGAGCCTATGTCAGTTGTGAAATCTGTTGTGGCATTGGGGAGTTCCATGGAGTTGGATGTGAGTTTGGAGGATGTCGAAGAGTTGGTGGAGGACCACAACGAAGAGCTAACCATTGAGGAGCTGCAAGAGCTTCAGCAGGAACAGCAACAGATTGCAGCTCAGAATCTTGCTGCAGAGGAGGAAGAGAGATAGAAAAAGGTGCCTTCTTCAGAAATTAAGGAGATTTTTGAAATGTGGGGTAGGATGGAAATATTTATGGAGAAACATCACCCTGAGAAGGATGTTGCAAGCCATATCGGTAACTTGTACAGTGACAGAGTCTTGGCCCATTTTAGGGAAGTTTTAAAGAGACACCAGAAACAGAGCTCTCTGGACACTTTTTTTGTGAGACAGGACTCCAGTGACTCTCAAGCTGGTCCTAGTGGCATTAAGAAACAGAGAAGAGAAGTATGAAACCCCAGAAAAGGACTTGGTACCTGAGGTGTTGATGGAAGGGGATTCCCCTTCCAAACAGTAACTAATCCAATCTCTCTCCTCCCCAGTCTTCCATACACTTAAGAAGAATTGCCAGTAAAGGTAAGTGTTATGCTGTTAATGTTTCATTCATCATGTCCCATTGTATTGTTTATGTACTACATCTATATTTCATGTAAAAAAAATTTTTGTTTTAATACTTCTGGGTGTCAGGAACGGATTAATTGTATTTACATTATTTCTTATGGGGAAAATTGATTCGAAAATTGTCTATTTCAATAATCGTCGCACTTCCAGGAACGGATTAACGACGATAAACGAGGGACCGCTGTATATGCATATTCCCTCCTTTCTGTTTAGCTTTAATTTCTTCTAAACCACTCAAGGGAGGTTTCATGATATTAGTGAGATGCTCTTGACCTACGGAAATAGACCTTTGCTCCCATTCCTTGAATTGAACCCTAATGCCTTCTATTCCCCCAGGCACTGTGTGTCCCTAATGGGTTTAGCACTCATCCCATGAATGTTATAATAATGTGATAATATTTCTTTTATCACTCAACTACCTGTGAATCTTCTTCAAACATCTTTCTCTGTACTATCTAAAAAAGTAATGTCCCCTTGTACAAATAAGAAATGAAAACTTGTTAAATGTTTTACACTCTGGCAGCCATTGCTGGTCCTTTTTCTATCTTATCAACATTTAAGATAACAGATAGACCTTAATAACCTATGGCATTTTTGCTTTTATTTTACACTTGTTTCTTAATGGTTCTCAACATTGTAATGTTTTCTTTCCAATTTGCCTGGGAAAACAGGGTTAGTGTTCTTCTCTCATAGTCATGCTTGGTGTGGAAGGTGACTAAAAGTTTTTGGAACAAGAGGCCAGATTGATCCTTTTTATGCATGTAATTACAGTAAATTCTTTTATATCACAGGACTCAATACAAATTGCCATTTTAATGAGTGATTTGTATTTTTTTGTTTAAATAAATGTTTTCTCATAGTTTTGGCTATACATTCATGCCACAAACTTGAGAAAAATTTTGAAATTGGGCTGCATACATCAGCTCCACCTAGGCTTACGGGACAATATGTTATACGTTTATTATTAACACATCGGTCGTTTCCCACCAAGGCAGGGTGGCCCAAAAAAGAAAAACTTCTGTCATCATTCACTCCATTACTGTCTTGCCAGAGGCATGCTTACACAATAGTTATAAAATTGCAACATTAACACCCCTCCTTCATTGTGCCAGCACTGTACTACGTATCTCCAGGAATCAAGTCCAGCCTGCTGGTTTCCCTGAATCCCTTCATAAATGTTACCTTGCTTACACTCCAACAGCATGTCAAGTCCTAAAAAACCATTTGTCTCCATTTGCTCCTATCTAACACGCACGCTTGCTGAAAATCCCAGCCCCTCGCCCACAAAACCTCATTTACCCTCTCCCACCAACCTTTCCTAGGCTGACCCCTACCCCACCTTCCCTCCACTACAGATTTACACACTCGAAGTCATTCTATTTCGTTCCATCCTCTCTACATGTCCAAACCATGTCAGTAACCCCTCCTCAGCCCTCCGGATAATAGTTTTGGTAATCCTGCACCTCCTCCTAATCTCCAAACTAAAGATTCTCTGAATTATATTCACACCACACATTGCCCTCAGACATCTTCACTGCCTCCAGCCTTCTTGTTGCAACATTCACCACCCATGCCTCACACCCATACAAGAGTGTTGGTATAACTATACTCTCATACCAAAAAGTTTATAATTTCTAACTGAAAAAAAATTGTCAGTGACTTAAACCTATTTTTCCATTACTGGTAGTTGAAAGAGGTAATTTCAATGATGCATTCTGCATCTTGTGAAAACTTGTGATCATTGACAGTGGCTGGGAGTAGCATCTATGTGAGATATAATTGTACAATAGGTGTGCATGTTGGAAACTAATAAGGAATATAATAGAGTGAGAACACAAGAAAGATGCTTTATTGTAATTGTGAGAGTAGTGCTAGCACTGCCTTTATTCAAAATGTAATTACCTCATGTTTTAAAGTTCAGTTTTATATTGTATAAGCCATTTCTATAAAAATTTTGTACTATATTATGCTTAAAATTATAAAAAGACCTGTAATAAAATAACTGGAAGAGGAAATTCTGTGTCTATTAATAGTCTAGTCTAGCATATACCAGTATAACAAATAATCTACTTTTATATCCAGTTCCAAAATGTTTAGCCATTTCATAAATTGAATCTTTAATAAAAACAATCCATACAGTCAAGTCTCACCAGAAGTTAGAACAACTAACCAGTTAGGCATTTGTTAAGCCATTATACTGTGACACCTTTAAATTTATGCAAGCATTTGCTGAAAAAACAAAATTCTATGCTATATTATTAATATATAAACAACTGTATGCCAGGAGCAAGGGGCTAGTAACCCCCTTCTCCTGTACAAATTACTAAATTTAAAAAGAGAAACTTTCGTTTTTCTTTTTTGGGCCACCCTGTCTTGGGATACAGCCGGTTTGTTGAAAAAAAAAAATAAACAACTGTAGTATATAGCAGTAATATGATAATATTTACAGGCATATGAAAATAGATAAGTTGTGATGAGGGTATCAAACAATTTAGATTAGGAGAAATTGGATATCAAATTGGAAGGAGGGAGTATGAAAGAGGTGAATGTGTTCAGATATTTGGGAGTAGATTTGTCGGCAGATGGGTTTATGAAGAATGAAGTAAACCGTATAATTGATGAAAGAAAAGAGACAGGTGGTGAATTGAGGTATCTATGAAGACAAGAACATAATCCATGGAGGCAAAGAAGGGAATGTATGAGAGTATTGTGGTACCAACACTTATATGGGTGTGAAGCATGGGTTGTGAATATTGCAGTGAGAAGGAGGCTGGAGGCATTTGAGATATCGTGTCTAAATATTATGCAGAGAATTTGTAGTGTGGAAATTAGGAGGAAGTGTGGAGTTACTAAAAGCATTGTTCAGAGGGCTGAAGAGGGGTTGTTGAGGTGTTTTAATCATTTAGAGAAGAGGAAGCAAAATAGAATGACTTGGAAGGTGTATAAATCTGTAGTGGAGGGAAAGAGGGGAAGTTGTCCTAGCAAAGGATGAAAGAGGTAAAAGACATTTTATGTGAAAGGGGCTTGGCCATACAGCAGGCATGCATGAGTATGTTAGATAGGAGTGAAGATGAATGGTTTTTGGGACTTGACGAGCTGTTGGAGTGTGAAGGGATTCAGGGTAAGCCAGTTAGCTGGACTTGAGTCCTGGAGGTGGGAAGTACAGTGCCTGCACTGTAAAGGAGGGGTTTGAGATATTTTCTGTTTGGAGTGACATCTGAACTGTCATATCTATGCACCCCTGCAAAGACATTGTGAATAATGGTGGAAGACTTTCTTTCTTTTTTAATTCGCCCTGCCTCAGTGGGAGACGGCCGATGTGTAGAAAAAAAATTGCAAGTACAGTATATACCTAATTATTGCATTATGCATGACTGTATTTTTTATTTTTGTAGATACATCCGGATAGATGGCAAAACTAATGGAGAATTGAGACAGAACCTGGTCACAAAGTTCCAAACACAAGATGACGTCAAGGTTGCAGTTCTTTCTATTACAGCTGCTAATACTGGAATTACACTTACTGCAGCTCAGTTGGTTGTCTTTGCTGAGCTATTTTGGAATCCTGGGGTAAGTTACAGATAGGAAGCAAATCAATAAGTGAGCAAGTAAGACAAGAGTAATTAGTCACAGAAATTAATAAGTTTAGGTTAGCAAAGTAGGACATAAAAAAGGTAAGAGGATTTTGTAGCAGGAAAGAGAAAAAGTAGTAGTAGGTTGGTAGACAGCAACCACCCAGGGAAGTACTACCGTCCTGCCAGATGATTGTGAAACAGAAACCTGTAACTGTTTTGCATGATGGTAGGATTGCTGGTGTCTTTTTCTGTCTCATAAACACGCTAGATAACAGGGATATCTTGCTACTACAACTTACACTTTGGTCACACTTCACAGACATGCACATGCATATATATATACATACATCTAGGTTTTTCTCCTTTTTCTACATAGCTCTTGTTCTTCTTTATTTCTTCTATTGTCCATGGGGAAGTGGAAAAGAATCTTTCCTCCGTAAGCCATGCGTGTCGTATGAGGCGACTAAAATGCCAGGAGCAATGGGCTAGTAACCCCTTCTCCTGTAGACATTTACTAAAAAAGAGAAGAAGAAAAACTTTATAAAACTGGGATGCTTGAATGTGCGTGGATGTAGTGCAGATGACAAGAAACAGATGATTGCTGATGTTATGAATGAAAAGAAGTTGGATGTCCTGGCCCTAAGCGAAACAAAGCTGAAGGGGGTAGGGGAGTTTCGGTGGGGGGAAATAAATGGGATTAAATCTGGAGTATCTGAGAGAGTTAGAGCAAAGGAAGGGGTAGCAGTAATGTTGAATGATCAGTTATGGAAGGAGAAAAGAGAATATGAATGTGTAAATGCAAGAATTATGTGGATTAAAGTAAAGGTTGGATGCGAGAAGTGGGTCATAATAAGCGTGTATGCACCTGGAGAAGAGAGGAATGCAGAGGAGAGAGAGAGATTTTGGGAGATGTTAAGTGAATGTATAGGAGCCTCTGAACCAAGTGAGAGAGTAATTGTTTTAGGGGACCTGAATGCTAAAGTAGGAGAAACTTTTAGAGAGGGTGTGGTAGGTAAGTTTGGGGTGCCAGGTGTAAATGATAATGGGAGCCCTTTGATTGAACTTTGTATAGAAAGGGGTTTTAGTTATAGGTAATACATATTTTAAGAAAAAGAGGATAAATAAGTATACAAGATATGATGTAGGGCGAAATGACAGTAGTTTGTTGGATTATGTATTGGTAGATAAAAGACTGTTGAGTAGACTTCAGGATGTACATGTTTATAGAGGGGCCACAGATATATCAGATCACTTTCTAGTTGTAGCTACACTGAGAGTAAAAGGTAGATGGGATACAAGGAGAATAGAAGCATCAGGGAAGAGAGAGGTGAAGGTTTATAAACTAAAAGAGGAGGCAGTTAGGGAAAGATATAAACAGCTATTGGAGGATAGAGGGGCTAATGAGAGCATAGGCAATGGGGTCGAAGAGGTATGGGGTAGGTTTAAAAATGTAGTGTTAGAGTGTTCAGCAGAAGTTTGTGGTTACAGGAAAGTGGGTGCGGGAGGGAAGAGGAGCGATTGGTGGAATGATGATGTAAAGAGAGTAGTAAGGGAGAAAAAGTTAGCATATGAGAAGTTTTTACAAAGTAGAAGTGATGCAAGGAGGGAAGAGTATATGGAGAAAAAGAGAGAGGTTAAGAGAGTGGTGAAGCAATGTAAAAAGAGAGCAAATGAGAGAGTGGTGAGATGTTATCAACAAATTTTGTTGAAAATAAGAAAAAGTTTTGGAGTGAGATTAACAAGTTAAGGAAGCCTAGAGAACAAATGGATTTGTCAGTTAAAAATAGGAGAGGAGAGTTATTAAATGGAGAGTTAGAGGTATTGGAAAGATGGAGGGAATATTTTGAGGAATTGTTAAATGTTGATGAAGATAGGGAAGCTGTGATTTTGTGTATAGGGCAAGGAGGAATAACATCTTGTAGGAGTGAGGAAGAGCCAGTTGTGAGTGTGGGGGAAGTTCGTGAGGCAGTAGGTAAAATGAAAGGGGGTAAGGCAGCCGGGATTGATGGGATAAAGATAGAAATGTTAAAAGCAGGTGGGGATATAGTTTTGGAGTGGTTGGTGCAATTATTTAATAAATGTATGGGAGAGGGTAAGGTACCTAGGGATTGGCAGAGAGCATGCATAGTTCCTTTGTATAAAGGCCAAAGGGGACAAAAGAGAGTGCAAAAATTATAGGGGGATAAGTCTGTTGAGTATACCTGGTAAAGTGTATGGTAGAGTTATTATTGAAAGAATTAAGAGTAAGATGGAGAATAGGATGCAGATGAAAAAAGGAGGATTTAGGAAAGGTAGGGGTGTGTGACCAGTGTTTACAGTGAAACATATAAGTGAACAGTATTTAGATAAGGCTAAAGAGGTCTTTGTGGCATTTATGGATTTGAAAGGTGTATGACAGGTGGATAGGGGGCAATGTGGCAGATGTTGCAGGTGTATGGTGTAGGAGGTAGGTTACTGAAAGCAGTGAAGAGTTTTTACGAGGGTAGTGAGGCTCAAGTTAGAGTACATAGGAAAGAGGGAAAATTATTTCCCAGTAAAAGTAGCCTTAGACAGGATGTGTGATGTCACCGTGGTTGTTTAATATATTTATAGATGGGGTTGTAGAGAAGTAAATGCGAGGGTCTTGACAAGAGGCGTGGAGTTAAAAGATAAGGAATCACACATAAAGTGGGAGTTGTTTACAGTTGCTCTTTGCTGATGACACTGTGCTCTTGGGAGATTCTGAAGAGAAGTTGCAGAGATTGGTGGATGAATTTGGTAGGGTGTGCAAAAGAAGAAAATTAAAAGTGAATACAGGAAAGAGTAAGTTATGAGGATAACAAAAATATTAGGTGATGAAAGATTGATATCAGATTGGAGGGAGAGAGTATGGAGGAGGTGAATGTATTCAGATATTTGGGAGTGGACGTGTCAGCGGATGGGTCTATGAAGGATGAGGTGAATCATAGAATTGATGAGGGGAAAAGCGTGATGGTGCACTTAGGAGTCTGTGGAGACAAAGAACTTTGTCCTTGGAGGCAAAGAGGGGATTGTATGAGAGTATAGTTTTACCAACACTCTTATATGGGTGTGAAGCATGGGTGATGAATGTTGCAGCGAGGAGAAGGCTGGAGGCAGTGGAGATGTCATGTCTGAGGGCAATGTGTGGTGTGAATATAATGCAGAGAATTCGTAGTTTGGAAGTTAGGAGGAGGTGCGGGATTACCAAAACTGTTGTCCAGAGGGCTGAGGAAGGGTTGTTGAGGTGGTTCGGACATGTAGAGAGAATGGAGCGAAACAGAATGACTTCAAGAGTGTATCAGTCTGTAGTGGAAGGAAGGCGGGTAGGGGTCGGCCTAGGAAAGGTTGGAGGGAGGGGGTAAAGGAGGTTTTGTGTGCGAGGGGCTTGGACTTCCAGCAGGCATGCGTGAGCGTGTTTGATAGGAGTGAATGGAGACGAATGGTTTTTAATACTTGACGTGCTGTTGGAGTGTGAGCAAAGTAACATTTATGAAGGGGTTCAGGGAAACCGGCAGGCCGGACTTGAGTCCTGGAGATGGGAAGTACAGTGCCTGCACTCTGAAGGAGGGGTGTTAATGTTGCAGTTTAAAAACTGTAGTGTAAAGCACCCTTCTGGCAAGACAGTGATGGAGTGAATGATGGTGAAAGTTTTTCTTTTTCGGGCCACCCTGCCTTGGTGGGAATCGGCCAGTGTGATAATAAAAATAATAAATAAAAGAGAAAAAGGTAAGAACACTTATTAGCAGAGTAAGTAAGAGTGAATTGCATTGATATAATGATATAAAGCACATTCGTGCATGTATGTGCAATTGCCTGTGCTTATTTTGTGTATCTTCCCAAGTCTATGCATGAAAGAGAAGGCGAATGAGCATGTGTATCATTTAGCTTTCTCTTGCCCTTTTCAAGTATCATTTTAGTTTTCATGAACTGCTAGTTCTGTAATATGTTTAGGATGACCATTACCATTCTCATAAGGCAAAAGTAAATGTACCAGTATAGTGGTACTAACGCTTTTATATAGGGCTTTAAGAATTGCAACAAGGAGACTAGATGAAGTGAAGATTTCATGTTTAAGAGCAGTGTGTGGTGTGAATATTATGCAGACAGTCTGAGACGTGTAAATTAGAAATTAGTATGGGTTTACCAAAGATGTAATTCAGAGTGTGGATGAGGAGGGATTGTTGAAATGATTGGGTATTTAGAAAGGTTGGAACAGAGTAGGATGACCAAGAGGGTATATAAATCCAGGGTAAATGAAAAGAGGGGTAGGGGTCATCCTAGGAAAGGTTGAAGGGAGGAGTGTAAAGGAGTTATTAGAGGTTGGGCTTTGAGCATGCAGCAGGCTACTGTGATCCTGTTAGATTGGAGTAACTGAAGACATGTGTTTTTTTTTTTTATGACTTGAAATGCTGTTGGAGTGTGAGCAGGGTAACATTTATAAAGGGATTCAGGAAAACCAGCTAGCCACATTCAGGTCCTGGATGAGGGAAGTACAGTGCCTCTACTCTGAACAAGGGGTGGGAATGCTGCAGTTCAAAGGTTCATTTGTGAATTGTGAAGTTTGTGCACTTCTAGCAAGACAGTTATTGAATGAATGTTGGTGAATGTATATAATTTTTTGAGTCGTCCTACCGTAGTGGGAGATAGCCAGTGGAAAAAAAATCACTTGCCTTGAAGCAGTTTCCTTTTATGGAAAATGGAAATAATTTGTATACAGTGGCAGTAAAATTTGGTAATGTAAATGTATCTGATATACTAAATCTTTATTTTTCTACTGCCTTATAAGCTGCATGTATATTATTTAGGTCACTACATACCTGAAGAATATCATATACAAACCTGGAAAATCAAAATAGTTCATCAGTATGGTTTAGAACAAATTTAATCCAAGGTTCTTACAGGTCCTTGTACAAGCTGAGGATCGTGCTCACAGAATTGGACAGAAAGACTGTGTGATGGTGCATTATCTGGTGGCTAAAGGAACAGCTGATGACTTTATATGGCCATTAGTTCAGTCAAAGTTGGAAGTGTTGAGTAAGGCTGGACTTACCAAGGATAATTTCTCCACTGCAGACTCAGCATTCCAGAAGGTGAAATTTACTTGCATTTTTTAATAGTGGATGATTCATTGGTACAGTGGAACCTCGGTATGTGACATTAATTCATTCCAGAAGGCTGTTTGAGTTCTGCTCCGTTTGAGTATCAAACAAGTTCTTCCCAACCAATTTTCTGTTTCTGTTCACTAATCTTCATAGGCCCCATGGTGACTTATTTATACAAATAATACAAAATAACACCAAAAAGTGCAAAGAACACGAAATAGTTTACAGCGAAGTTCTGGCAGGTCATATTTGTTTGGTCGAGTGCTGAGCTCTGTTTGAGTAGGGAACTAGTCGTATACCAAGGTTCCACTGTATATATTTTTAGATCTTTTTTTTTTTTTTTTTGTAAACAAGATACGAAAAAGGAATCCATAATATAGTACAGTGGACCCCCGGTTAATTATATTTTTTCATTCCAGAAGTATGTTCAGGTGCCAGTACTGACTGAATTTGTTCCCATAAGGAATATTGTGAAGTAGATTAGTCCATTTCAGACCCCCAAACATACACGTACAAATGCACTTACATAATTGGTCGCATTGGGAGGTGATCGTTATGCGGGGGTCCACTGTACTTTGAAGTTTCCATTTTATTACCTTCTTATATACTGTACATGGGAGGGGGGTACTTTATACCCAGAGGGGTTCATACAGCATCTGGGTTAATGGGAGACAGGTTTAATCCAAGGAGGGAAAGGTTAGGCCAAATTATATGCATCTAGAGCCCTTCACTGACATCAAGGAACCTCCCTTGTGAGTGAGGGGGATGGGAGTTAGAATTCCCATAACCAGCCGTAAGTAATGTGATGGAACACGAGGTAAGAGATAGACAATACAAAAGTGTAACAAATAGTTTGTTTAAAGAGAAATGTGTAAAAGATGTTACAAGAAGCCTAGTGGTTGAGTGTAGTGAAAGTACTTTGGAAGAGGATGCATATGCAGAATATACGTAAATATAAACATACATGTGTATTTTTTTTTTTTCAACAAACTGGCCACATCCCACCGAAGCAGGGTGGCCAAAAAAACAAAAGTTTCTCTTATATCTAATTTGTCAGGAATAAATCTTTGAAGCAAATGTACTATAGAAATAATCTTTTTCTCTTAGTCTCTGTATGCAAGTAAAGATTAAAAAAATGGATAATACAAAATAAAGGACTATAACCAGTTAAAAAGTAAGGTATAAGATAGACACTTGTCAATAATATATCACTTTAAATACCTGCCAAACTGGCACAATGATTTTTTAAGGTGTTTTGATCTATTATGCATAATATTTGATACAGTGGAGATGTCTAAGGGCAGTGTGTGGTGTAAATATTATGCAGAGAATTCGGAGTGTGGAAATTAGGAAGAGGTGTGGAGTTACTAAAAGTATTAGTCAGAGGGGTTGTTGAGGTGGTTTGGTCATTTGGAGAGAATGGATCAAAGAAGAATGACTTGGAGAGCATATAAATCTGTAGGGGAGGGAGGGGGGGTAGGGGTTGTCCTCGAAAAGGTTGGAGGGAAAGGGTAAAGGGGTTTGTGGGCGAGGGGCTTGGATTTCCAGCAAGCTTGTGTGTGTGTGTTGGGAGTGAATGGAGATGAATGGTGTTTGGGACTTGATGAGCTGTTGGAGTGTGAGCAGGGTAATATTTTGTGAAGGAATTTAAGGAAACTGGTTAGCCAGACTTGAGTCCTGGAAATGGGAAGTACAATGCCTGCACTTTAAAGGAGGGGTTTGGGATATTGGCAGTTTGAAGGGACTTCTGAACTGTCGTATCTGAGTGACTCTGCAAAGACGGTGATTATGTATAAGTGATGGTGAAAGTGTTGAATGATTAGTTTTTTTCTTTGCTTTTGGGTCACCCTGCCTCGGTGGGAAACGGCTGACGTGTTAAAAAAAAAAAATATTGATGTATTTTGCCTTGAAAATAAGAACTTACAATAAGAAAATAAAGAATGAAAAAGGCACAATAACCATGACTGGAACAATATGCAAATAACCCACATGTATGTTTTGGTCCAACTTGAACTTCCTTCCGTTCATGCTTGTGTGTGTGATGACTAGTTAAAAGTCCTAGTCAGACCAAAATGTCATAAGTTTCACTTTCCTACGTGCAGGTTATTTGTGTAGTAAGAAAATGCTTAGTGTACTGTATTATTATACGTATTCACAGGGAGGCATTATCATCATAGGGGTCATTCAGCACCTGGGGATTAGCCTGCTAATTTTAAGACTGGCTTGCTATAGGTTCAAACCTTCCAGTTACTGAGAGGCAATCAGGTTTGATTTAGGGTAAGAGTAATACCAATACCTTGTATCAAGAGTTTTGATAACTTTTAGTTCAAAGATTAGCTTCTTAGTCTGTTGGTGGAAACCTGCAGCTTAAGTCAAAATTGTGGTACATGGCTGACCATTTTTAAAAACAAAAATGAAGCAAAAAATCCCATAATTCAAGCAAAGCAGGCAAAAAGCATAGGCTTATGCCATTTGATTTTAGGTAATTTTTAAGTGTCATCATAGGAGGAACGTATTACCTGTTCATTTTATTTTCAGTGTTTAGGTACTGCAGTAAATTTAGTAGTGCAGTGGTACCTCGAGTTTCAAACTGCTCCCAACTCGAACAATTATGTAAGTTTTTTTTGTAAGTGCTTTTCTAAATGTATTTTTGGGGGTCTGAAACGGACTAATCTAATTTACATTATTCCTCATGGGAACAAATTCGTTCAGTATCGACGCTCGAACAGCCTTCTGGAACGAATTAAGTTTGTAACTCGAGGTACCATTGTATAAGTTGTATGAGATCATAGAAGAGTAGAACCCCCTTCCCTCAAGGGAGGTTGCTTGACACTGGTGAAGGGCTCTTTAGCCAAGCAATTGAAACCAACTTCCCTTTGGATCAAACTTGATTGCCATTTCTCAAGTGCTGTATGACCCCTTGGATTTAGTGCTTCCTTCCATGAATGTAAAGAGTATAAAAATGTTTGAAACTGACTAAAAGTATGTTTACTATTTGATTCTTCTCTTCAGATAAATGACCAACAGAGCATCTTGAATTACTTCCACGAGCTAGATGATGATGCATGCTTTGAGGACATTGCTTTAGAGGATTCTGCTGATGAGCCCATGATAAAAAAACAGAAAACATAGCAGGCATTGTGATTTACTCCAAATTATGAATGAAACTTGTGAAGTGCTGTTGTAAGAAATTACCAGTGATATAAATTAGAATTGATTGAAAATAAGTAATTATGCAGTTGTGTGCTGTATAGCCCTTGTGACTTAGCGCTTCATTTTGATTATAATAATAATAATACAGTTGTGTTAAACCACTGTGTTGCTTGATCTTATCACCTTGGCTACCTTTGTGTAATTTATACATTTTATTCCATTGATCCTTGTATGATAAAATATTGATTAATGTAAAAGAATTATAGTAATTAAGTTAAGTGCTAAACTCAAAAGGGTCATACAACCATAAAAGAATGACATAAAAACTACTATCACGTGGTTATAAATGACCATAATTTTTAAAGGGGTGGACCAGTAAGCCAGCGGAAGGCCTAGGTCAGATGACCAAAAGCTCCAAAGATGGGTCATCATCTGACTAAGACCCGTGTCAGGAAACGTTTGTCCTGTTTCCTGACGAACCTTACCTAACCTAATGACGTAATATTGTAAATGTTATGCATGATGTACAAAATTAATAACCTAGCTTTTTTTAAGAGTCATCGGTGGGAGACGACCAACTTGTTGAAAAAAAAAAAAAAATCTAAGACTTGTAACTATTTTACATGGTTAGGCTTTATTATCTTCCAGCTGAATGACCCAACAATGTTGGTCCAAGTTAGAAAACAAAAAAGCTCTATTAACCACAATTGAGTGCCTAACCATTTTTATATTAATATTCACTATGGAAATTATTTTCACTTTCATGAAGAACACATCATGAAGAACAGCATAAAAATGTTTATGGGATAGATTATTATAATCAAAACTAAGCTCTAGACCCACAAGTGTCGTACAAATAAACTAGAAATGATAAATGTTTTGTTATTTATACCAGTAACTATACACACTATCATCAACAATAAAAATTTAAAACTAACCTGAATGTCATAAAATGAACATTGTTTAAATTTATCTGTCTTTGCAGCTTGGCGCTTCTTTTTGATTATAATAATAATAATTTGCAGCTTGCTTTGGCTCAATGTGTGCACTAAATTAAATTTATTAATCCTACTTCGGTTTAGCACGTTCTTTGATTATGATATTAATCCTACTTAATGTTTAACAGGTACATTCTGTAATTGCCCTTTATATACCATGTCAAGTACATAATGTTGCTTTGTTTTCATTTTCCCCAGCAATCAGCTGTGTGGCATTTTACATAAAGGTCAGTTTAGCACTTTGATTATAAAAATAATAATAATTTACGTAAAGGTAACGTATACATTACTTGCACAATAAATAACATTTATTTTTTATAATACAAGTATATTTTTTATTTTATTTATAAACGATTAGGTATCCCCACCTATTCAAAATACCTTATTGGTTTTCATTGTTCCCAACCTCTTTTTCCCTATCTACTACTATGGTTTCCATTAGATTGCTCTAAAATACCTCTCCACTTAGAAATTATAATAATACATTTTTTGTTTACATTAGATAGTGTACCATTCCGGTGCCTAATTTTAAGGGATTGGAGCCATTCAATGAATAAAGCAAATGAGCAGAATTACGAGGAAAAGGTGTATTTTTTATATGCCGATTTTAAATTTTCCACCATAACTCGACTCAAACCTTATTAAAATTTACACAATATAACTTAACTTTCCTAACCCTAGAATCTGCATAATCTTAGTAAGAGGAGGTAATGAGAAAGGGTCAATTTTCAGGCGAACTCATTATACACTACACATTTCTCAATTCTAGTGGATGTTGACAGAAGTCAATACAATTTTTTTTAGGTGGATTATTTATGAGATGACAAAATCTTAAAAAATAAATAAATAAATTATATATAAAATATATATTTATATATATATATATTTTTTTTCAACAAGTCTGCCGTCTCCCACTGAGGCAGGGTGACCCAAAAAAGAAAGAAAATCCCCAAAAAGAAAATACTTTCATCATTCAACACTTTCACCACACTCACACATTATCACTGTTTTTGCAGAGGTGCTCAGAACACAACAGTTTAAAAGCATATACGTATAAAGATACACAACGTATCCCGAACCCCTCCTTTCAAGTGCATGCATTGTACTCCCCATTTCCAGGACTCGAGTCCGGCTATATAAAAATAACCGGTTTCCCTGAATCCCTTCACTAAATATTACCCTGCTCAAACTCCAACAGATCGTCAGGTCCCAAATACCATTCATCTCCATTCACTCCTATCAAACATGCTTACGCAAGCCTGCTGGAAGTCCAAGCCCCTCGCCCACAAAACCTCCCTTACCCCTTCCTTCCAACCTTTTCGAGGACAACCTCTACCCCGCCTTCCTTCCCCTACAGATTCAAACGCTCTCCATGTCATTCTACTTTGATCCATTCTCTCTAAATGATCAAACCACCTCAACAACCCCTCTTCAGCCCTCTAATACTTTTATTAACTCCACACCTTCTCCTAATTTCCACACTCCAAATTTTCTGCATAATATTTTTCACCACACATTGCCCTTCGACAGGACATCTCAACTGCCTCCTCGCTGCTGCATTCACAACCCAAGCTTCACACCCATATAAGTGTTGGTACTACTATACTTTCATTCCCTTCTTTGCCTCCATAGATAACGTTTTTTGTCTCCACATATACCTCAACACACCACTCACTTTTTTTCCCTCATCAATTCTATGATTAACCTCATCCTTCATAAATCCAAACCAATATATGAAAGGTTACGCTACTCTTAACCTTTACACGGTATAATGTATAGTACAGCCCTCCAATAATTGCATTTTGTAAAGTGCTTTTGAGGTACTGTATTTGCAAAAAATAACACCCATCTGAAACTCCTCAAATTGCTCTTAAATAAAAAAAATTGGATGTCTTTTGATTCAGTGTGTGAAGACTATTACCCCCCTTCCCACTTTTTCAACACCCATTCCATTATTACATTCAATTTTCAGAGTAGGGAGAACAAAAGAAGTAATTATTCATGCTGTAATAAAAGGTTTGTTCATAGAAATATTAACTTTATAACACTGGAGGCTGCAGAGTGGTACACCAGTCTTGGAACATGAATACTTCTTCTGGTTGGAGCATCCTAAGACACCACATAACTTTACTCCTTGCTTTTTCCTGCAAGTATAAGAAATATTAATGAAACAGCACTTCCTGTTTTAATATATCTATATGATGAAACCATGTCTAAGAGTGAAATAAGTTAAAATACTACATCAGCTAAATTGGATGTATTTGATTAGCTTTCATACTGAACTACATAAATTATGGAAATGGGCTAAATTAATGTTTTTAACATAATAGTCATCTCTAGCCCAAAGAACACATTCACCACTTAAATCACTATTAACTTTCACTAATACCACACTTCTTATATTACAATTTTGTTTACATCAGGTGTCCCGAAGCTCGATTGCTAGCACACTTGGTTCACACACTGAGGTCTGGGGGGTCGATCCCCGGTACAATCCAAGGTAGTAGGTTGGTAGACAGCAACCACCCATGGAGGTACTACCATTCTGCTAATTGAGTGTGAAATGGAAACCTGTAAATTGTCTTACATGATGGTAGGATTGCTGGTGTCTTTTTTTTTTTGTCTCATAAACGTGAGGGATAACTGATAAATCTTGCTACTTCTACTTATACTTAGGTCACACTACAGATGCATGTACATGCAGAACAACCACAATGAAGAGTGGTGGGCTTCCAAGTGTTTTCATGATTTCTCAGTTCCTTGATAATATGAAAACTCACAGAAGTGCTTGGAAGTTCACTGTTCTTCTCAGTGGCTGTTCTGCATATTGTGATATCACCTGTTGACTGTGATCTTATTGTATGCTGTGTGTTTATATATATTTATCTGGGTTTTCTTCTATTTTCTTAATAGTTCTTGTTCTTATCTATTTCTTGTCTCCATGGGGAAGTTGAAATGAATTCTAAGCCATGCATGTTGTAAGAACATAAGGAAGGAGGAACACTGCAGCAGACCTGTTGGCCCATACTAGGCAAGTCCTTCACAAATCCATCCCACTAACAGAATATTTTCCCAACCCATTTTCAATGCTACCCAAGTAATAAGCCTTGATAAATCTATTTACTCATGCAAGTCCCACTCAAGTCCAACCCTTCTCATTCATGTATTTCTTCCTTTCTTTCAACACACCAGCCATATCCCACCAAGGCAGGGTGGCCCAAAAAGAAAAACGAAAGTTTCTCTTTTAAATTTAGTAATTTATACGGGAGAAGGGGTTACTAGCCCCTTGCTCCCGGCATTTTAGTCGCCTCTTACAACACGCACGGCTTACGGAGGAAGAATTCTGTTCCACTTCCCCATGGAGATAAGAGGAAATAAACAAGAACTAGAAAGAAAATAGAAGAATACCCAGAGGGGTGTGTATATATATGCTTGTACATGTATGTGTAGTGTGACCTAAGTGCAAGTAGAAGTAGCAAGACATACATGAAATCTTGCATGTTTATGAGCCAGACAAAAGACACCAGCAATCCTACCATCATGTAAAACAAAAGTTTCTCTTTTTAACTTTAGTAATGTATACAGGAGAAGGGATTACTAGCCCCTTGCTCTCAGCATTTTAGTCACCTCTTACAACACGCATGGCTTATGGAGGAAGAATTCTGTTCTGCTTTCCCATGGAGATTAGAGAAAATAAACAAGACCAAGAACTAGCAAGTAAATATAAAACCCAGAGGGGTGTGCATGCATATGCTTTTACATGAATATGTGACCTAAGTGTAAGCAGAAATAGCAAGATGTTGTTTGAAATCTTGCAAGTTTATGAGACAGATAAAAAAGACACCAGCAATCTACATTCACTTGGCAGGACGGTAGTACCTACCTGGGCAGTTGCTGTCTACCAGCCTACTACCTTGGATTATTATTATCCTATTTATAATTAGCTTTTCTTACTTTCTGCCATCTATCAGAATATACTGCATTAAACTTTTTTCATAAATATATTCTCCGAAGAACGCTTACTGTGCATGCTACCTTACAAGTGCCTAACAGCATTAGGTACCAGGTCCAGATTTCATAGAAACAAAACTACACCAAGGTATGTTAACAAGGTTTTATTGAATGAATAGTAAAATATTATAATTACTATGCAACAATTTGATTTCCTACCTTTCACTCTGGGCCTCCATGGGAAAAGGAAAAGCAACTGGAACAGAAAGCGACACCATTTCTTGATTATTAATGTAAGAATACATGGGAATCTCTTTTTTGGAGAATTTAAGCCGACTAATCTTTCCAACTTTGGAATCTTGTTTCTTAAGTAGACGATCAACCGTTTTTTTCTGCAACAAAAATAATTGTTGATTAAATGTTTTCAGAGATCACAGAATTAAAAAGATATATATAAAATTGGATACATGCATAAATGATAGTGTGATGCAGTTCAGATGGGCTTGTGAGGTCTCTAGGGAGACCTAATTATATGGTCACACCTGCCTTAGCAAATGTCGGGTAGTCACGCCCACGTCTGAGGTCTTTTGTTCTTAACGGCGTCAGACCTCGGCGTCAGGTCGTAACACGTGGTACATACACCATTGGGGAGGGGGTACTCTGACTACGATATAAGCCCAGGGAACAGCGGGGCAAAGAGGTTGTTGGTGACAGGTCCGGGGAGCGAGAGCTCTGGACAGCCGCGTGTGTAGTGGACCACGCATTGGGAATCTCGGGTCAGCTGGTCGGTGAATTAAGAGTGAGTAGTAGTCCGTGTTACTGATAACATCTACCCTTCCCCCTGGTAATAAGTCTCATAGGTCAATTGTTATATTGTGTAAATTTCCATCAGGATATGTTGTATTCTAGCCCTTTTATGTTATTAAGTAAACTATAGCCATAGTTCCCATTTTTATTTGTACCTTCATATGCTATTCCCTATTCTGTTAAGCACTGGGATATACAGGAGACGTGCTCACTCGCTGGGATACCTCAGGTAGAGTGGGTAGAGGTCTCACAATAGTACAATGGAACCTCGGCTTACAAGTTTAATCCATTCTGTGACCTTGCTCGTATCCCGATCTGCTCGTATGCCGAGTCAATTTTCCTCATTTAAATTAACTGAAATGCCATTAATCCATTCCACCGGAATTCCTGGTCTCAGGAGGCATGACAAAAAATTTTTTTTCAACAAACCAGCCGTATCCCACCAAGGCAGGGTGGCCCAAAAAGAAAAATGAAAGTTTTTCTTTTTAAATTTAGTAATTTGTACAGGAGAAGGGGTTACTATCCCCTTGCTCCTGGCATTTTAGTCACCGCTTACAACGCGCATGGCTTACGGAGGAAGAATTCTGTTCCACTTCCCCATGGAGATAAGAGGAAATAAACAAGAACTAGAAAGAAAATGGAAGAAAACCCAGAGGGGTGTGTATATATATATGCTTGTAGATGTATGTGCAGTGTGACCTAAGTGTAAGAAGAAGTAGCAAGACATACCTGAAACCTTGCATGTTTACGAGACAGAAAAAAGACACTAGCAATCCTACCATCATGTAAAACAAATACATGTACAGGCTTTCGTTTTACATTCACTTGGCAGGACGGTAGTACCTCCCTGGGCGGTTGCTGTCTACCAACCTACTACCGACGACATGAAAAATACACTTCAATATAACGCTAATATCAACTCTACGGCTTATTTATCTATCACAATTCATCTAATACGACATAATAAACAATATAATTCACATAGAAACGTGATATACACTCTAGAGTGAATAGAACAGGCCATAATATGGCAAGTGGTGGTGGCGGAGTTGATTCCCAATCCCGCTGACTATATCTTCCCATGCTTTTATTATAAGAGAAAATGGAGTGTTTGTGAGGCTAACTGCACTAGTTTCATAAATGAGAAATATTGTATAAAAACATAATAGAGAATGTAGAGAAATAAAGTGGTTTTATAAAGTGTATGTACACTGGCAGAGGTGAAGAGTGGAAGATAGGCTACTTGCTACAAGCTCCTACTGCCACCACACACCTTGCTTGTTTATCTATGATTTCATGCTGTAATTCCATGGACATCCTCTTTTTCTTCTCAGCATTGTCCTTTGCACTTACTTTCTTAAGACCCATAGTTAGAAAAAAGAAATTTGGCAATAATAGCACGAGAAATGCTTCCACGGCAACATCAACACATTGTACAGCTCAGCTGATGTGGTATTGACTGTGCCACCTAGTGGTTATGTTCTGAAACTCGCTTATTATTATTATTATTATTATATGAATACAGTGGTACCTCGGGATATGAACTTAATTCGTTCCAGAAGGCTGTTTGAGTGCCGATACTGAACGAATTTGTTCCCGTAAGGAATAATGTAAATTAGATTAATCCGTTTCAGACCCCCACAAATACACTTACAAAAGCACTTACATAATTGTTCGAGTTTTGAGCTGTTCGTATCCCGAGGTACCACTGTATTGTTATTATTATTAATTTAGGGAACTGGAGCACAGATCCAATCCCCTAGATCAAGAGCCCCTCACCAGCATCAAGGAACCTCCCTCAAGGGGGAAGCTCGCATCCTGAATTTTTGCTCGTATCCAGAAACAAAAAATTGACCGAGCAACTACTCGTATCCTGAAAAATTCATATGGTGGGGCACTCATAAACTGAGGTTCCACCATATTCATTACTAAAGTGTAGTAATAAATAAATTACACATACTGATTTAGTTTCAAAATAATAAATGCTTAAAAAAGGAAACAATTATTTATATTTTAAGCTACAGTGCTTATAATTAAAGTATACTCCCCCTCAACCACAACCACAAAATAAGTGGGCTCTCATGTTTTAGGACATTTTTCAACCATCCAGGAAGTGATTACCACATATTCTTCAGGGTTTCATAGAGAAAATTCCCCCACAACTCACAGATGGTGATCCCCAGCTGTAAGATTAAGTTGATATCCTTCCCTTAGTAGATCTCTATCAAAGACCAGAGACTCTCAATGGGGTTCAAGTCTGTGGAACTTCCTGACCAATCATCAAAGGATACAGCACAGTCAAAAAGCCATTACAGAACAGATCTTGCATTTTTTCAAGAAGCAGTCTTGCATAAAACTCTTTCCACCACAGTGTGAAAGATTCAGACAAATGATTACAGACCAATTCTACATACATTATTACAATTAACATTAGTGGGGATGTTTTTCTAGGCTTTCCTGGACATGTTTTTGATGTGGACATGTCATCAACACCATCTGCAAGTAACTAATGAAACTAGGTCCTCGCTGCATGCTCACACATCAATGGCTCCTACTATTTCCTTCGTTTGATGGTATGCACTATGTAATCCAATAATCCGTGCAATTGTCTTGTATCAGAGACTTACTCCTGCCCATATTAAACTGTCCATAGCCAAGGAATGTCTAACAAAATCAGCACTCGGGACCACATGCCCCAGAGAAACCATGGACATAAATCCATCCTCCACACAAACCTAGAAGGCACTCATGACACAGCCAACAGTCTTAGAGAATCCCGAGATGTCCTGCTACAAATTGCCAGACCAGCATAACTTTTTGCCTCGCTGAAACACCTAACAGGGTTGGGTATTATATTCAACATTAACCCTTTGAGGGTCGACAGGCCCTCTCCGAAACTTGTTCTCAGGGTCGGCCAAATTTAAAAAAAAAAAAAATTATTTTCTCTTATGAAAATATAGAGAATCTTTTCCCGATCATAAAGACACCAAAAGTTTGAAATTTGATAGAAAACTTACGGAATTATGCTCTCGCAAAGTTAGCGGTCTCGGCGATGTTTACGCATCGGCGATTTTGCCCACTTTGAGCCCCATTTTCGGCCAATTTCACTGTACTAGTCGACAAAAAACATGAATATTTCGCTAGAACTCCATTTTTTCTATCGAATGGGTGCAAGAAACCACTCATTTATGAAATTCAACTATCCAGTACAGTGGTCAGAATTTAGCAATTTTGCCAATTTCACACAAATTTCAAAAGATGCCAATTTCCAAATAGGGTCCAGAATAAACAAGAAAGACATTCCTGGCACTAAAATGACATTTCCTCTAGTCATTAGTCATGTCTCAAGGCCCCTCTTATATTCTTTTGCTTTCCACTTTGAATTTTTTATTTTCACAAAAAATATAAGATTTACTGTTATGCAGAGTTCTGCATTAGTGTAAAAAATGGTATAAATATTATTGGTGCACTTGTGAAGGAATATTAGACTCACCAGTTGACGTGTATTGCACGCTTGGCACAATTTGTTTACTTTTGAATTTTGGTAAAAATCGAACATTTCTGCTACTTTGAGCTCAATTTCAAGGCACCTTTCTTTGTAAAACCAGTCAAAATCATCTCAATTTCTGTAATATGTCTTCCATTCTATAAAATGAGACCAAGAAAACTAGAATACAACAATAAATACCATACGAAAATACACTGCAAAGTCGCTGATTTATTAAAAAAAAATGGTCAAAGTTTTTTTTTCTCATTATGCACTGTGTGCTGCAGGATTTTTTTTAGACTGTGCACACTGACCACATAGACCCATTCTTTCATATGAAGGCCTACCAGCTTTCTCCCACTAGATTTGAGGCCGCTAGAATTTATGAGTACTAGTACGTCAAAAACCCCTACGCGTAAGACGTACTAGTACGACGAAAACCCTCAAAGGGTTAAAGTATGTTGGATGCCCCCACTCTGCACACTTTAATGATGAGCATTATACTGATGCAAGACAATTGGCACATTCTTTGTCCCTTCAAAGGCATTGCCTTAATGCCAGTGAAGGGCTATTTCTCCAAGGAATTGGAGCTACCTTCTCATTCCTTGAATCAAACTTTATTACTTCCCATTTTTTATGCACTGTATGACCCCCATGGGTTTAGTGCTTTCCTCTGAATATAATTATAATATTTTTTGTACATACCTTGTCTTCCTCTCTCTTCTCTTGGGCTTGCTCTCTTCTCTTTTGTGTCTTCATGGCTTTTTTGGCTAGCATTTCCTTTGTGACAACTTTCTCCTTAAAACCTGAAAAAAATCATTAACTTTGGTAGAAGTCACCTATTATTTCCATAAGAAATGCAGTCAGTCTTGAACTCAATTTTAATTTAGAAAGTTTTTAAACTGATTTCAACTGGTATGTAACCATATCTTGCCAATATGTTCATACTTACCCAACAGGTAAATGTATTTTCCTGTCTTACTGTGAATGAACACTTTCCCTTACTGACGGACTCAATATTAAAAAACTAAACGTAATGCAGTCACTGTACAATCTTAGAGGCAGCTCTCATATTCCATAACCTCAGCCCTCTGTACCTCAACACATGCAGGAGGTCTAGCAACTATGCTTCAAAAAAAACTCAAAAGGCAGAGGAGCTACAGCTCAACTTCCTCAAGAGACCTAGGAGCTGTAACTCCATTCTAATGTGGGTAAGGAGCTGGCCATTAGCAGGAGGTCCATCAGTTATGGCTGAACACTCAAGAGGCCCATGAGCTGATGAAACAAGATGTAGAACTTTTAGTAGTTTTTGTACTACCTATGGCAATGGCAGGCAGACAGACAACAGTTTTCAGATAGAGTTAGTCTTGCTGTAATATCATACAAACCAACACCATTATTACACCGATAACCTGCACACAGGAGAGGGGAGCTTGCAATGACGTTTCGGTTTGACTTCGTAAATGGGCCAAGTCGGACCGAAATGTCGTTTTACGCTCCCCTCTCCTATGTGCAGGTTACTGGTGTATTGTTCTGGTCACGGTATTGTGCCTTTTTGTTATTTATTCAACAGCATTATTTTTATGAAACTCAACAACTGTTTGCCTATCCCAAGAAAAGAACCGAGTAACCATTTTCAAAACCACATTTTTTTAAAGATTCCTTAAAACTTCAGCTACTTTCTTTCCTTCACCTATTCTGCTATTTTGCATTTCTTCATCTTAAACTTACTGGATCATGATAAAATATTTTAGATAAATTTTCACAGTACAAAATTTATTTTAATATCTTTGCACAAAAAGAATGCTCAATGTCACTTATTTTGTTTATTACACAAAAACCATAAATGTAATGAACAAAAACTGAAGAATTAAAAGGCAATACAGTGATTGGAACATTTTATAAATAACCCTAACTTACGAGAGGAAACTTGTGATGATGCTTCAATCTGTCCTGGACCAGGACAGTCTGAAATGCCATCATACACTTCCTTTCCTAAGCAAGGGTTATTTGGAATGAAAAAATATAAACTAAACAAGAAATAGTACATTCAGCTATGAATATGCTAACCTGAAGGAAGAGAGAGGAGAGGTTCTGCCGGTATTACTGGAAAAGTATCATCTGTTCCATCAGTTTTCTTCTCTTTTTCCAACATTGCTCTCTGTCGAGCCGTCATCAGTCTAGGGTTCTTCATTCTCTTCAATTCATCATCAACCTGAAATTAAAGGGCATGTTAAAAAAAGAAAGAGTAATAAAAATTACATATACACTTCACATTTTAACACTAAACAAGTTATATAAACTCTCATCAAAAGTAAGTGCAGCCTCTCCTCACTTAGCGACGTTCTCATTTGCCGACACCTCAAACTTACAACAGGCTCTCTGACTAGTATTTATACCTAAATAATGTATATTAGAGCTGATTTCCTCTATTCTTTTTATTTCAATATACTGTACACTACTGTATAAACATTTAAAAATATACCAGAAATGTTATAAATGGTGCAAAGGTGACATTAAAACAATATCGAAGATGGTTGACACAAACCCACTACCATTATAGTATGCTCCTCACTTAGCGATGAATTTGTTTAACGATGTGGTCTTAGGAACGGAAATCCGTTGTTAAGTGAGGAGAGGCTGTACATCATATTTCCTTTAGGAGGATGTGCTGAGGCAATTTAGGCATGTAGAGAGGATAGAGAAAGATATACAGTGGACCCCCGCATAACGATTACCTCCAAATGCGACCAATTATGTAAGTGTATTTATTTAAGTGCGTTTGTACGTGTATGTTTGGGGGTCTGAAAGGAATAATCTACTTCACAATATTCCTTATGGGAATAAATTCGGTCAGTACTGGCACCTGAACATACTTATGGAGTGAAAAAATATCGTTAACCGGGGGTCCACTGTATTGATGAAGAGGGTGTATAAATCTGGGAGTGCAATGTAGACGGGGTTGTTCCAGGAATGGTTGGAGAAAGGGGGCAGAAGAGGCTTCATGTTTTAAGGGTTTAAGAATCCAGCAGGCTTGTGTGAGACAAGTTGTATTTAGTGAAAGTGCTCTTGGAGAGTGAGCAGGGTAACTTTTATGAAGGAATTCAGGGAAACCAGTTAGCTGGACTTGAATCCTGGACATGGCAAGGGCAATGCCTGTACTCTGAAGGAGGAGTAGGGATATTGCAGTCAGAGGGTAATCTGACTGTGATGTCAGAACACTTCTGGAAAGATGGGATTGAAAGTAAATGTGTTTTCTTCCCCTTTCCTTCCCCCCCCCCAAAAAAAAAAAAAAAAAAAAACTTTGCTCAAGTCTTTCTTGTACCAAATTTTGGAAGGGAAACATGGAAACAGAGTAGTACATACAGTACATATACGGGTGAATACACATGTGTACACACACAAAAGGCACGACTTGCAAAACAAAGTTTATATTAAAATTTAAACTATAAGTATTGGCCAAAAATTGACCAAATAGCTGTCATAAACTATTACAATATTATTATTATGTAATACGTAATAATGTACAGTATTGGAAAATCCACATTAACACTACCTCTTCTAATTTTCCAGACTCAATAGCATCTAGCCAGCGTTCCTCTTCACTGTCAGTGTCATCTTCCCCTTTGCCATCTTTTTTTTTGCCACTCTTTTTGCTCCCAGAAGTTTTACTCTTCTCTGATTTTACCTTTGTAGATTTAGGAGTAGTTCTGAAATTTGTTGATAAACTATAATTTTTGAAACTTTCTGAATGATTCATGACAAAACCTCCTTTCTGTGTTTGAACTTATTATCAGTTGTCTTTAATTTTCACTATGCCCATTCAATTAACTTTTTTTTATAAAGTAAAAGGACACAAGTGCAACTAATGTGACATTTTACTCTGGCAACGTTTCGCTCTCCAGGAACTTTGTCAAGCCGTAACAGTTTGACAAAGCTCCTGGAGAGCGAAACATTGCCACAATAAAATGTCACATTAGTTGCACTTGTGTCTTTTTACTTTACATTTTGTCAGTAATTCTACCAACATACATAAACAACTTTTTTTTGTAATGGTGTATATCTTTACAAGGCTTTTTTTTTCTATACTAGCCCAAATCTTGCCCAAAATAATGAGCTTTGTAAAAATATTATATTTAATGTATACTTAATGCTTTTGTGAACAAATATTTTGATTTGTTTGAGAAATTGAAGCCACAAATGACAAAAGAAGTTTACGAAATGAGAACAGAGAATAAGTGGAATAGAAAGAACATATTGTATAACCAGAAAAAAATAATATTAAATTGAAAGGCAGGGAATTTTTCAATAAATACAAGGTAAGAATACAGTGGAACCCCGGTTTTTGTCCGGTCCAGTTATTGTACAATTCAGTGTTCGACCACATTTTCGGCGAAATTTTCCCCGTTTTTGTACATCCGCTCAGAAATCGTCCATACCAGACGCATCCTCACGTGCTCCAGCGAAATATTTCATAATAATCCATTTATTTTAGTGCTTGCAAGTACTAAATAAGCTACCATGGCTCCAAAGAAAGCTCCTAGTGCCAAGCCTGTGGTAAAGAAGGTGAGAAATATGACTGAATTTAAGAAAACCATCATTGAACAATATGAAAGTGGTACAAGTGTGGCCGAACTGTCCAGGATGTATAAGAAACCCTACACAACCTTATGTTCCATAGTGGCCAAGAAAAAGGAAATAAAGGATGCTGTTGTTGCAAAGGGAGTAACTAGTAAGTAAGTAAGTAAGTTTATTCAGGTATACACAAATACAGTTACATAGAATTATCATACATAGCAGCATATGTGTAGAGAACCTAGGATAACCCAAAAAAGTCAGACAGAGTGACTTATTTCCATTGGGGACCTTTTACCTTATTATAATATAAAGGTTATAATATTCTCTTATTATTCTACAATGAAGATAACATCTTATTATCATACTAAAAAGACTATCTACTACACGAGGGTCATTAAGACTATCTACCATACGAGGGTCATTACTAGGAATAAGGTAAAATTTACACGTATGTTAGCTAAAAAATAGAAAATCATTCCCCTCCCTTTCTGTAGCTACATTCATCAGACACCTTTTGGCACTCTTCTTGAACTGGTTTCATGCTAATGACTGGCTTTGACATGTGCGGGCAGTCTGTTCCATTCCTTTATTGCCGTACAATAAAAGGGGTTTGAAGCCTGGCCAATGACTGTGGGTACTACAAAGTTGTGCTCTCTCCCCTTGTACTATGATTGCTTTGGTTCCCAACTTGACAAAATTGACAGCAAGATATTCTGGACATTGTTTGTGAGCAATTTTATAAACATGATTTAGCTTCAGTTGTTTTACTCTGTCTTCAACATTCAGCATATCCAACTGCTGTAATTCATCCTGGCCTACATGTTCTCTTGGTCCCAGCCCCAGGATGAATCTTACGATTTTGTTCTGGGTGATTTGCAGTCTATCTTTCAGTTTTTTTGTCAAGGCAGAGTACCATGAAGAGCAAGCATAATCCATATGGCATTGTATAAGGGCTAGACATAGGGTCCTGCGAGCCTCAGTAGGTAGACACTGTGCTTGTCTATACAGGAACTTCAGTCTGGCATTTGCTTTCTTTACTACACTGTTCCCTATCAATTCTCCTGACATGCATGGGTCAAAGGGGATTCCCAAATATTTTACTGATGAAACCAAAGAGATGGGCTCCCCATTACATTGAACATTAAAATTATTTACCCTTCTCAGTTTATGTTTCGTGCCAAAGAGAATGGCTTCAGTTTTCCCTAGGTGTAATTATAGTTTGTTGTCTACTAACCATTTGCTGCAGGACTCCAGTTCCAGTGTTAAAACATTAGCAATATCTTGTGGGTCTTTACCTGACACTAACAGAGCACTGTCATCTGCATACAGTAGGAGTTTGCACTTGACACCGATAGGCATATCATTGACATAACATAAGAATAATAAGGGACCCAGAATACTACCTTGGGGAACTCCACAAGTTATCGGCAGGGGTTCTGATTCTGTTTTGTTGATTTTGACTATTTGTCCTCCTGTTGCTAAGGTAGGACTTAAACCAGTCTACAGAACCTATACCGATAGCTTGAAGTTTATTACATAATATATTGTGGTTGACAGTATCGAAGGCCTTTTGCAGGTCTAAGGTTACCATACCTATGAGGTTTCCCTTTGACATTTCAGTTCTCAGGTAATCCATCAGATTAATAAGGGAGGTGTCGGTTGAGTAGGATCTTCTAAAGCCCGATTGATAGCTATGGAGAATGTTGTTTGTCATTAAGGTACTTAACTACTTGAGAATACACCGCCCTCTCTAGAATTTTAGATATTATACTGAGTATACTAACAGGCCTATAGTTGTTTACATCAGACCTACTATTTTTCTTGAAGATAGGAGTAACTCTGGCCTCCTTGAACCCCTCCGGTACGGTATTAGTGGTGATTGATAGATTTATTATGTGAGCAATAGGGATTGACAGTTCAGAAGCACCATCTTTTAGGAACTTAGACGGGATGTTATCAGGGCCTGTGCTCTTAGTTGGGTTTAACCTGCTTAGTTCTTTTTGAATAAAGTCATGAGATACACTTACTAGTTGACAACTGTTTGGGGTTACCCCTTTATTGGTATAGTATGTTTGAAACTTATCAGAGTCTGTGTTAAAGGTATTTGATGCAGCTGGTAGTTTACTTACTAGTGTTGATGCAACAGATGTGTAGTATGAATTAAAGCAATTTGCCACCTTAGGTGTTTCGTGGCATACCTCATTATCGATAGTACTATGTTAGACCTATCTACTGGCTTATGGCTATACCCCAACTGTTTTAGTTGTTGCCAGAGCTTTCTGGGGTTATGCTTATACTCTTCAATTTTTGAGCAGTAGTGCTTTGCCTTTGCTCCTTTTATAAGTCTCTGTACTCTGTTCCTCACCCTTTGGAATTCATTTAGTGCTGCAATATCCTGTCTGTTTGCTTTAAATCTTTTTAGCAGCTGGTCTCTGAATTTCATATTATCTAATATCTCAGTATTCATCCAGGGTTCAGTTCTTCGTTTAATCCTAACCTCTTTAACTGGTGCAATATTATCAAGGATGGTAGTGAACATTGTTTTGAATTTTCCCAGGCATCGTTTACGTCCGTGCAACTTGCTATCTCTGTCCAGTCACAATTGTGTAGCCTATTTACCAGTGTTTCTTTACTGTAGTTTCTAGTTGACCTCATTTTTATTGTCCTGTGTAGGCCTATCCTATCCCTAGTGATTTTCCTGGTGCAGTAAATGATGAAATGATCACTAAGACCTGTGGTAATGACGCCTGACTGACTAATGTTCTCAGAGCGGTTACAAAGTATGTGGTCAATTAGGGTGGCTGCAAACTGTGTGATCCAGGATGGAGTATTAATTAGTTGAGTGTAACTATTTAATCCTAGAATTTGCTTATACCTTTTGCATAGCCCGTTATTTTGCTGCTGAAAACAGATATTGAAATCGCCCAGTATATTATTGTCTCGCAATTGTTTTCAACTCCGGACAGGACTCTGGAAAAGTCTTCTAAGAACTGGTCCTGGGTAGGAGGACGGTAACTAGTTCCTACTAAGATGGGTTTGGTCTTAGGAAGCAGCACTTCAAACCATAGAATCTCCAGTTTATTGTTATTTAAATCAGGTCTTGGGTTGTAAGCTAAGTCATTTCTAATGTAGGCACATACTCCACCACCCTTTCTGTTCCTATCTAAGCGTTTTATATTGTAACCTTCTATTTTGACCTCGTCGTCAGTCACCGTATCATCCAACCAAGATTCAGAGATGGTTATAACTGCCGCCCTAATTTTGTTAGCTAGAATCCTAATCTCTGCCAATTTAGGAAGAAGTGATCTTGCATTGACATGAATAAAGTGAAGGCCTGTTTTCATAAAACAATCATAATCATCAATATATGGCAATAGGTCATTTGTATTAAAATTAGGTAAATCAATGTCATCACTGCTAAAGGGTAACTGTGCCAAAGTGCATTTGTTACACACAAAATGAATTCTGGCACCATTGCTATAATTGTACATACATCCATCATGCACCCACCCCTTACACATTTTACATAAGGTGCCTTTTCTGTTTTTCATGCGTGCTTTAGTACAGTGTATGCACCTGTTTGGTAGTGTTTGAGATAATAATGGCTGTATTGTCTCACATTGACCTATGTATGCATTACATATGGAGTTAAGGTTATCATTCCTAGCTACTAGACCGTCATTATCGCCATCATTTATCTATGCTGACAAAAATGAGATCACCAGTACTGGAAGAGGTTGAGAAGTTATTATTGGTGTGGATAAATGAGAAACAATTAGCAGGAGATACTCTTATGACTTCGATTATTTGTGAAAAGGCTAGGCAGTTGCATGAAGATTTGGTAAAGAAATTGCCTGCAAATAGTGGTGAAGTGAGTGAATTTAAGGCCAGCAAAGGCTGGTTTGAGAGATTTAAGAACCGTACTGGCATACACAGTGTGGTAAGGCATGGTGAGGCTGCCAGTTCGGACCACAAGGCGGCTGAAAAATATGTGCATGAGTTCCAGGAGTACATAGAGGCTGAAGGACTGAAACCTGAACAAGTGTTCAATTGTGATGAAACAGGCCTCTTTTGGAAGAAAATGCCAAAGAGAACCTTCAATACACAAGAGGAAAAGGCAATGCCAGGACACAAGCCTATGAAAGACAGGCTGATGCTAATGCTAGTGGGGATTTCAAAGTGAAGCCATTACTAGTGTACCATTCTGAAAATCCCAGAGTGTTCAGGAAAAACAATGTTATGAAGAGTAAATTGTGTGTGTTTTGGAAATCTAATAGTAAGGCATGGGTCACGAGGGAAATTTTCGTCGAGTGGTTCAATGAAGTGTTTGGCCCTAGTGTGAAGGAGTATCTCCTGGAAAAGAAATTGGATCTCAAGTGCCTGCTAGTAATGGACAATGCACCTGCTCATCCTCCAAACTTGGATGACCTAATTTTCGAGGAGTTTGGGTTCATCACAGTAACGTTCTTGCCCCCGAATACCACTCCTCTCCTCCAACCCATGGACCAGCAGGTTATTGCAAACATTAAAAAACTCTACACAAAAGCAATGTTTCACAGGTGCTTGACTGTGACCACAGACACTCACTTGACCCTAAGGGAATTTTGGAGAGAACACTTCAGCATCCTCCACTGTGTAACCCTTATAGGTATGGCTTGGGAGGGAGTGACTACCAGGACTTTGAACTCTGCCTGGAGAAAATTGTGGCCAGATTGTGTCGACAAGAGGGATTTTGAAGGATTTGGGACTGACCCTAATGAGCCTATGTCCGTTGTAAAATCAATTGTGGCACTGGGGAGTTCCATGGGGTTGGATGTGAGTTTGGAGGATGTGGAAGAATTGGTGGAAGACCACAATGAAGAGCTCACCACTGAGGAGCTGCAAGAGCTTCAGCAGGAAGAGCAACAGATTGCAGCTCAGAATCTTGCTGCAGAGGAGGAGGAAGAGAGATGGAAGAAGGTGCCTTCTTCAGAAATTAAAGAGATTTTTACTATGTAGGGTAAGATGGAAAGCTTTATGGAGAAACATCACCCTAACAAGGTTGTTGCAAGCCAGGTTGGCAACATGTACAGTGACAAAGTCTTGGGCCATTTTTAGGGAAGTGTTAAAGAGATGCCAGAAACAGAGCTCTCTCCACAGTTATTTTGTGAGACAGGACTCCAGTGACTCTCAAGGTGGTCCTAGTGGCATTAAGAAACAAAGAAGAGAAGCAACCCCAGAAAAGCAAATGGTACCTGAGGTGTTGATGGAAGGGGATTCCCCTTCCAAACTATAAACAATCCACTCTCTCTCCTCCTCCAGTCTCCCATACACTAAGAAGAATCTCCAATAAAGGTAAGTGTTATGCTGTTAATGTTTCATTCATCATTTCCCATTGTATTGTTTATGTACTACATGTATATTTCATGTTAAAATTTTTTTTGTTTTAATACTTCTGGGTGTCAGGAACGGATTAATTGTATTTACATTATTTCTTATGGGGAAAATTGATTCGTAAATCGTATATTTCGTTTATAGTAATGGCTCCAGGAACGGATTAATTACGAAAAACGAGGGACCACTGTACATATATTACTAAATTTAAAAGGAGAAACTTTTGTTTTCCCTTTTGGGCCAACCTGCCTTGGTGGGATATGGCAGGTTAGTTGAAAGAAGAAGATATACAGTACCATAACTAATCCTGTTCTCCATTCATAATGTTCAGTACTTACCGTACTTCAGCCATGCACAAATAATTGCTAATTAAAAAGCCTATGAAGGTGTGCTTTTAAATGCATTAAAGTATTCAAGATTTTCTGTTCTGTTTAGTTTCACAGTGGTAATTTTCATAATTACTACCTATTGTAAATTTAGTAGATTGAAAATTCCAATCTTTCAGGACATTGTCTTATAACTGTCAATGTTAATGAAATTAGCGCAATATTTAACCCTTAAACTGTCCAAACGTAGATCTATGTTCACACGCATAGAGCTCCTACCTTGATTTTCCCCATCTGAAAGCATGTAAAAAAAATGTAGATCTACGTTCGGAGCCCCCCGCACGTGGACGTAGATCTACATTTGGACAGATTAAGGGTTAAGGAGATAGAACCTCTGGAACACATACTGAGCACAAATCTGAAACAAATATTATGCAGAAAAAGGGATGTATAATATTTGTTCTCATTCACAATAAAATCATAAATCCTTATTTTATAAGTTGCAATGAACACATCTGTTTCAAATTTCATCCTCAATCTTCATGCATTTTTTTAAAGTTAACTTCCTATTTCCTGCACTGATAGCTCAGTTACACAGTAAACATAAATGCTTACAAATGTATAACAAGTACAGTAGAGTACAAAAATAATAATCAACCAAGCTGACAAAACTAGTTGCAGGTAAAAAAAACAAATTTGCTCTTACACTACACTAAAATATCACAAACATTACACAAATAACCTGCACATACGAAACTGAAACTTATGATGTTTTGGTCTGACTTGGACTGTTAACTATTCACAGACACTTTTCAAACCATAATGCAAACAAACAAAGAAGAAAAAAATTGAAAGTGACAAAGTACTGTAAAAGTGAACATACGGTTTCTCAGGGGAGGAGTCTTGAAACTTAATTTTCAACTTAAGGCTTTGGGATGGAGAGTCATCAATGTCATCAACAGTAATATCCATATCCTCGATTTCTTCTACATTTATAATTCTTTCTACCTCTTCTTTCTTAGACGACTTTTTATGTTTATGTTTCTTCGGCTTCTTAATTGTAGGTATAGCTGGGTCTGAAATAAACCATTTCAGCACTGTTACTGCTACAGTACTATTATTCATAAATTTGCATTTATTAATATAATTAATGTAATTATTCAGACCAGTTACTTGTAAAGCAAAAACCTGCTAACAACCAAACAGTTAAGAATAAAGATGCCTAACTGTTGCCTATGTGTCTTACTTACCAACCTGTTGGTATTGTATACCATTTTGATATTCAACCAACCAGTTCAGTTTCTAAACAGCAAATTTCTGAAATTTATGGGCATATGACATTTATTTCTAGGTAGTAGATTGATAGACAGCAACTGCCCAGGGAGGTACTACCGTCCTGCCAAGTGAGTGTGAAACGAAAGCCTGTAATTGTTTTACATGATGGTAGGATTGCTAGTGTCCATTTTTCTGTCTCATAAACATGCAAGATTTTCAGGTAAGTCTTGCTACTTCCACTTACACTTAGGTCACACTACACATACATGTACAAGCATATATATACACACCCCTCTGGGTTTTCTGCTATTTTCTTTCTAGTTCTTGTTCTTGTTTATTTCCTCTTACCTCCATGGGGAAGTGGAACAGAATTCTTCCTCCGTAAGCTATGCGTGTTGTAAGAGGCGACTAAAATGCCAGGAGCAAAAGGCTAGTAACCCCTTCTCCTGTATAAATTACTAAATTTAAAAAGAGAAACTTTTGTTTTTCTTTTTGGGCCACCCTGCCTTGGTGGGATACGGCTGGTTTGTTGAAAAAAAAAAATGACATTTATTTAGATTTCAAGAAAAGTTTCAACAAGAGCTCCCTAATAAGAACAATTTGAAAAAACATACCACTGATAGATGGATGCCAAAAGATAATGAAGATACCTGGAGAGGGTTTTCGAGGTCAGTGCCCCTGTGGCCGTCTGTGACCGGGCCTCATGGTGGATCAGGGCCTGATCAGCCAGGCTGTTACTGTTGGCTGCAAGCAACCCAACATAAGAACCACAGCCATGGCTGCTCAGATACTGACTTTAGGTGCCTGTCCAGTACCTTCTTGAAGACAGCCAGGGGTCTATTGATAATCCCCCTTATGTATGTTGGAAGGTATCTAAACAGTCTTGGGCCCCTGACACTTACTGTGTTGTCTCTTATCATGCTTGTGGCACCTCTGCTTTTCATTGGGGGGATGTTGCATCGTCTGCCAAGTATTTTGCTTTCATAGTGATTTTTGTGTGCAAATTTGGTACTTATCCCTCTAAGATTTTCCAAGTGCATAGTCATGTATCTCTCCCATCTGCATTCTAGGGAGTACAGGTTGAGGAACTTCAAGCATTTCCAGTAACTGAGATGTTTTATCGCACTTATGTGTGCCGTGAAGGTTGTCTGTACATTTTCTAGGTCAATAATTACACCTGCCTTGAAAGGTGCTGTTAGTGTGCAGCAATATCCCAGCCTAGATAGAACAAGCGACCTGAAGGGTGTCATCATGGGTTTGGCATCCCTAGTTTTGAAGGTTCTCATTATCCATCCTGTCATTTTTCTAGCAGATGCAACTGATACAATGTTGTGGTCTTTGAAAGTGAGATCCTCTGACATTTTCACTTCCAGGTCTTTTACATATGTTTTTTGCTCTATTTTGTGGTTGGAATTAGTTTTAATTTCCTCATGGTTTTCCATATCAGAGTAAATGAAATTTCTCACCATTGAACTTCATGTTGTTTTCTGCGGTCCATTTAAAGATTTGGTTGATGTCCGCCTGAAGTCTTGCAGTGTCTTCAACGGAGGAAACTGTCATGCAAATTTGGGTGTCATCTGCAAAGGAAGACATGGTGCTGTGGCTTACATCCCAGTCTATGTCAGATATGAGGATGAGGAACAGGATAGGAGCGAGTACTGTGCCTTGTGGAACAGAGTTTTTCATAGCAGCCGCCTCAGGCTTTACTTTCTTTATTACCACTCTTTGTGTTCTATTTGTTAGGATATTATAGATCCACTTACCAACTTTTCCTGTTATTCCTTTATCACGCATTTCGTGTGCTATTACACCATGGTCACACTTGTCAAAGGCTTTTACAAAGTCTGTGTATACTACATCTGCATTTTGTCTGTCTACTAGAGCATCCAGGACTTGTCATATTGGTCCAATAGTTGGGACAGGCAGGAGCGACCTGCTCTAAACCCGTGTTACCCTGGGTTGTGTAACTGATGGGTATCTAGAAGAGTGGTGATCTTGCTTCTTAGATGTTAGTGCTGTAAGTGCCACATAGATAATGGAACAGCAGAAAGTGAAAATAAGCTATATGAAAATAAAGATAGTGGTAAAATATGGCAATAATAAGCCACAAAGAATACAGATTATGTGATAAAATATTAAAACAGCAAAGAGAGATAGAGGGATCTAAGTACCATTAGTGACAAATCATAGGCATGGAAGTTCATTTCAATGACATGATGAGAAATTCCATATTCTACACTGGCAACCTTCAACATAGCCTTCAGTTAGGACTAAAAATACAAAGTTAAAAACGTAAGTTAGGCTGAAATCGTAATATGCAATGATGATGTAGTGTCCATCCCTGAAAAAAAATGTAAGATATGTTTTGCCAGCCAGTGACTTCTTCAGTCTAATACAGAGAAGAACAGTGGACGACAAAATTCCCAAATATTGCGCAAGTGTCTCATTCTTCAACTTGTCAGTTTTCTAAGCCATTACAACACATGAGTTTTGCTGTTTACTCTTGTTACATTCATGGGGAGTGCTAAACCTACAGGGGGTCATACAACGCCTAAGGAGTGGAAGGCATTCTGACTCGGTTCAAGGAATTAGACCAAAGGTCCAATTCCTTTGATCAAGTGCCCTTCACCAGCATCAAGGAACCTCTTTCAAGGGAAGGTATGAAAAAATAAAGTAAAATATCTGAAGACTGCTCACCGTGGACATGACTCTGTGAATCCATACTCATAGAGTGGGACTGCTCACTGCTTTCTTTATCTTTCTTCTTACCCATGATTTTTGTGTTTTTTTTACCCATGTAATCAAAAAACTTTTCTCAAGATACTGCATTTGTTCACGGTCAATCAAAATAAAATTTTTTT